GCTTTTCAGTTGAAAACAGACATCATCTTTAGAGACATTTGTCATCTTTAAAGATTTCTCCACGCCATTTTTCGAGCCGCTCTTTCATTTGAGCCTAAAAAAACATTGGTAGTGTCCATTCACACGGTCCACGGTAAATCTTACCGTCGATATAGGGTATATTTTATAGGGTTTATTTTATTAAAAATCTACGTCAACAAATGCCAAGAAAAATATGAAAAAATTCAAGATTGATCTCAATGACTCAAGTTTGGGGTAAAGCTAACGAGCTTGATCAAAAATTTTCCAGTCAGATTATATATTGAAAAAACAGCAATTTTTTTAGTTTATCAACAAATAATAAGTTAAATATGAAAGTTTTGTGAAAAGGTCAAAAGAGTGAAAATGGAGAGGAGAGAACGAGAAAAAATCACCTTTTGTTCTTATTCCAATAAGATAACTGGATCAAAAGTTATCTTATGGCAAAATTTGGTTGAAAAATGAAAAAAAAAGGAAAAAATGGGGACTGCTGAAAAATTGAAAAATGTTTTTAAAAAAATTTCCTCTCCTGAAGATATTCGATGAAGAATTATTTGCATTTTGCAACTAAAATGGACTTGACTTGGTTGGCTTCCAGATGGATGCCGCGTTGAGTTTCAGCATTGCGCCGACGTTTCGCAAACATTGCAGTCTGCATCTTCAGGGCTATGAGCTCCGATTCAAATCTCCCTTGCATCCCCGGTAAAAAGTGGAAACACTGCACGCCATTCACTCACCTTATATGCACGGTAAAAAAAAATTACTTTATATCCACGGTGAAAATCTTCCCTATATCCACGGTAAAAATGGGCCCGATGCACACCACTGCTTTACCTTATATCCACGGTAAGAATTACCTTTTATCCACGGTAAAAAATGGGCCTTACGTACCCCACTGCTTACCTTATATCCACGGTAGAAATTACCGTATATCCACGGTAAAATATACCCTGTACCCGCGGTAAAATTTACCGTGGACCGTGTGAATAGACACTGCCTAGAAACTTATCATTACCGCCGCCTTAGAAATTATATTTAGAATCCTAGTAAGCATTTTATAATCTCTTCATCACTTGTGCGCTGTTTTACATAAAATTTTGCCTCGCAAGTATTTTACAACGAAATTCATGAAATGAATTTCGTTTCACTTTCATCGTCCGAAGAAAGACGCGAATGGAAAATCAGCACATTCTTTTTCTAATATAAAGGTTTACCTTACATCAATTTGCACGTGTGCTCTCGGAGTAGATGACCCAGGCATTTTCGTGGGTACATCGCGACGATGGTTTTCCGGAATTAAAATTCAGGCACTAATTGCCTATCAAACGATTTGGACCCTTACGCTCCTGCGTTAGCTTTACAACCCCAAAGCCGAGCCGAGGGTAATGACCCTTAATTTTGGTGTCAATCGGTTGGTACATCGAGTGGAGTGTAGTGTTTCACAGTTTATTAACAAAATCATCCCGACAATTGCGCTCAACATCGCATCCGGAAGTTGAATCGTTTCAAACGTGTTGTGCCACTGATTAGACTCAGATAATCGTGAAGTCGACTTTCCCTCTGACAAAATCCAAGATCTGACCCTGGATCCAGGTGAAAATGAAAATTTTTTATTTCGAGATTTCTGTCGCCTCCGAGTGTTTCATTGACATCTGAGGGGTGAATAAATACAGAATCAGCATTCACTTGGCGAAAGTCGACTTTTTCTCTGACAAAATCCAAGATCTGGCCTTGGATCCAGGTGAAAATAAAAATGTTTTACTTCGAGATTTCTGTCGCCTCAGAGTGTTTCATTGATATCTGAGGGGTGAATCAATACAGAATCAACTTTCACGTAGCAAAAAAATTCGATTTTGGCGAGAGTCGACTTTCTCACTGACAAAATCCAAGATCTGGCTCTGGATCCAGGAGGAAATAAAAACTTTTTATTTCGACATTTCTGTCGCCTTCGAGTATTTCACTCACATCTAAGGGGCGAATGAATACATAATCAATGTTCACTTGCCCAAAAAATTTGTTTTTCACGGAGAGAAATGTTTAGTAAAAATTACGGAACTCACAGTTCGCTCACCGATTACGGAATCGACTCAGAAAATTTAAGTGATGATAGCGTAATTTTTCAGAGGAGATTCAGGTAAAAATTAAGGAACGCTCTGGAAAAATTACGTGCCAGTTCCGTAAAATTTTCTACAACCACATTGCGCTCCGGAATTGTGGAAAAGATACGTAATTTTTATTGAATATTTCTCTCCGTGTTGGCGAAAGTCGACTTTACCTCCGACAAAATCCAAGTTAGCACAACCCTTTTTCCTTAAAACTGCAATTAGTAGAAAATTTAATAATTTAACCCGGAAAAGCCGAGTTGGACTTGAAAAAAATTATTTTGTTCTGAAGAGTTAAAAAAAGCTACCAAAGAGAATTGAATTAGTTTTTCTCATTTAAGAAAACTAAATGGAACAAGTTAATGTCAAGACAAATGAGATTGATGAGATCCTGGCGAGGTCTGAAACTCGTGACTTTTATCGCTCTGGCGAGGTATAATTTTCGCGAAGCTTCACGGTTTACGATAAAAGCTAACGTCGGCTGGTTTTTGCTTCCGAATGGAAGCATTGAAATCGTTCGATTTTTCGAATCGCTAATTTTTTACATTTATTACGTAAATTGCGGGTTTTTTAAAGTGTCATGTAAAAAAACTGCGCTTATCGACAGATGCCCAACCCTGGCTACTACCAGCGAAGAGGGCGGGGAAGCCCTACGGCTACAGATCCCCATATCTCACGTCCGTTCATCTTTCTTCTAAGCCCGGTCGCTTTTATAAACAGCTGGCGATGCCATAATGACGTTGATTGAGGATGGTAGATTTGAGGCATGAATTTCAAATTTGACTTAGCGTCGTAAACTTTTTTTTCGGTTCTTGATGATTAAAATATCACAATATCTATGCGCGCGCTGATCTATTCATTTGTTGAAATGAAGAAATGGAATTCATTAAATTTCATTTTCTCATGAATACCTTATAAATATTGATAATGAATCAAAGAGAATTCGACTAATGATTGAAGTGAACAGCGAAGTAGAGTAAAAGAATCTATAAAGAATTTTTCATTTTCAATTATCTATCTTCAATTTTTTTAAATAATCGTCTTCATAAAAGGACAGAATGTATTAATTTCACCGATAATATATATACACGTGAAATATATATATTATATATATACATATATATATATATATATATATATATATATATATATATATATACGTCATATATATATATGACGTGAAAAAAAAATTATCACTGAAGAATTTGAAATTATGTCACTGAAGAATTTGAAAATGCCGCGTGTTTTTTTTGTGAATAACTTCGTGTCACATATTGACCAATCAGAATTAAGGATCAGTGGTCAGGCAGTTTCGAGATATTTTGATATAAAACAACTTCACGTTTCTTTCATCTTTAGTAAATAGGACTAGGTCCATAACGCNATTATCACTGAAGAATTTGAAATTATGTCACTGAAGAATTTGAAAATGCCGCGTGTTTTTTTTGTGAATAACTTCGTGTCACATATTGACCAATCAGAATTAAGGATCAGTGGTCAGGCAGTTTCGAGATATTTTGATATAAAACAACTTCACGTTTCTTTCATCTTTAGTAAATAGGACTAGGTCCATAACGCGCGCGGTCGCGCGCGTTTACGAACAATCAGCGCTTTAGCGCTGAGAATTGGTCTAATTACAAATACCATAGAAAAACATTAAGAAGCTATTTTCGTTTACCATAAAATATAAAAATTCAAAAAGAATTAAAATTTAGAAAAAAAAAATCCGAACCGCAAGAAGAGCATGACATGACTATCATATGACAGGTCATATGATGCCTTCGAATTTTCAAATCTGGAAATTTCATGCTATCATCGGAAGTCAGCTGCACTCTGAAGTAACTCGATTGAGTAGATTTGTCTCGATTCAGTAGATTTGTCTCGTACATTCAAAACCAATTAAAATCTCTGTAACTTGATCTCACTCATATAAAACTTTCATGGGCANCTATCATATGACAGGTCATATGATGCATTCGAATTTTCAAATCTGGAAATTTCATGCTATCATCGGAAGTCAGCTGCACTCTGAAGTAACTCGATTGAGTAGATTTGTCTCGATTCAGTAGATTTGTCTCGTACATTCAAAACCAATTAAAATCTCTGTAACTTGATCTCACTCATATAAAACTTTCATGGGCATACATCACAATATTTCCATTATTTCCAATTTATCATTCATTTTATTAATTAGTATATCATCAAATCATAAACAATTCATAAAATCAAAAATCAAAGTTATCTTCCTCATCGATAAATCATCACCATCATCATGATTATTATCATCAACATCAACATCATCATCATAATTATCCCATCAATATCATCAATTTCTTTAAGAAATCACCACATTCATCGATACAAATTGATTATTCCGCCAGCAAAGGAAAACTCTCCGGTGTGTTGATAACAAGATAAACTCGAAACCTCCTTCACGTATTTGCTTCAAACCAGGTCTGAAAAAAGGAGAAGAATAAAAATCACATGAGAATATGTTTTATTCAATGGAAAAATATTTTTCCAATATTTAAGAACAATTGATCTCTAACAACATCAATTACAGCTAATTTTCATCTCTGCCCTTCTCTTTCTCATAGGGGAAAAAAAAGCTGTAGAAAATGAAATGAAGCAAATCATGTTTAATTGAGTTCAAAATATCCTCTAAGCAAGTGATACAATATAAATGAATCAAATCTCGTTTTGATGTTGGAGAATTGGAGAAATATTTGAACGTTTAATAAAGGAGGCAATTCTACTCTACGATCCACGAGTTATTTTTTTCCCCTTTCTTTTCTCTTCTCTTTACGTAGTTCACGACTACCGACTTTTTTTTCCAACTGAAAAAGAAGCTAACGGATGTATGTAAATATATATAAAACTCGATAACTGTAAGATTATTTATTTTTTTACTATTCTTTTTTATCACGTCGAAGAATTTATATTGAAAGAAATCTACTTAGATCATTTCCACCAGGAAGACTACGAAATGTCACTGCAGTTATTAAGGATTGACGTAAGCATCTTTTTTACAAGAGTCCATTTTTTTATGGTCAAATGCCATGAAACTTTGGCAAAACGTTATTTGAACTATTATAAAATGATCGATCTATCGCTCAGCTCTTCGTCATATTCTCAATATCGATTTTTTTGGTTTTTTATGTTTTAGTTGATATCGGCAATATCGACAATATACGCAAAAATTGCTTACGTCAATCCTTAATAACAATCCACCAGGAAGAAAACGAAATGTCACTGCAGTATTAATAATAAAAACCTCTTAATTTCAACACACTTCAATTCTTAATTTGAACACAATTTTCTCTTCTTTATTCATTAAAATACACATCGATATTTCTTCTCTCCATAATATTCTCTCTTCCATAATATTGTCACACTCCTATAATAATATTCTCACACTATTTTCCGTGGGAATTTCTTTTCGTATTTTTCCTCGGCTAACTTCTCACAAAAACAACAGAGAGAAACTGTCACCATAATCGATTGGTATACAATCGATTATTTTCGTCATTCATCGAGAAAATAAATCAATTTGTTTTTTTTCTCGATAACTGAAAAACAAATACAAAACGCCTTGCTTTTTTAATCATAAGGAAGGATATAGCAATGCACACGTTGTACTTTTCATTATCCGAGGGTGATGGAAGGGAAATCACATTTGGATTTCGCGTCGTAGATGTATTTTGCAGTTTTTGGGATGCGAAATCAATCAAATTCATGAACATGAATCAAAAAAATATTTTATTAAATCCTCGAGAGAGAAACACACACAGAACAATCAAAACATTATTTCCACCATAAATCGTTGGTTAATTCCCCCTTGGGTTTCCAACCCACTGAACCCATGCGTTGTCTCCAATGTATCAAGATCGTTTGTGATATCTTTCAACGAATGATTCAGTTGTTCATAGTCCTCTTGGTCGTTGTTCAACGACTTGATTATGTCAATTGTAGCCAGGACACTCAACTGGTGATAGAATGCCTTCAACCATGACTTTTGCTTGATGTTTTCCATTTTGTGTGGAAGGATTCGATGTGTTCCAAATTTATTCCTGAAACATTAATAATTGACATTAAAAAATCAATTTATAAAAAATAAATTAGAAAAAAATGGTGCCGACTAATTAGCCTTTCTCTTATCAATACAATAATTCTGTTCTTCTTCAAAAGATAACTTTTTTCAATAACTTTTTCAACTTTTAACTTTTTTAATTTTTCAACTTTCAACTGTTTTTTGTTTTTTTTTTTAACATTACCAGCAGTTTTAGCCAATCCGTCACTGCTGAAACTCGATGATTTTCTCTCTTCGACACTAGTCCCTGTCAAAAGTGTAACAACAGGTGATCCAGATCCAGCACTGAATCCCACATTACTCTGCTGCGTTAGATAGTGGCAGCACTCGATGATCTGAAAGAATGACCAGGCCTCTTTGTCCTTGGGCTTTGGTCCCTTGATGTAAGGTAGGGCTAAGTGTTCGTGGGGTCTCTGAGCTCGAAGAAACCTGGATCCCTTTCGGAGTTGGGACTCTAGCCATCTAGTAGCTTCACGCGCTTGACTGCTAGTTCGTTTCATCTCATCCAATGCTTGAACAACTGTAAGACCAGTCCATGAAAATTATCGAAAAGAAGTTAATTTATATTTCATATATTTTAATTAGGATACATCTCCGAAACTATTAAGTTTGAGGTAAATGTCAAGGGACAATTTTAGTAAAAATTATTACGTAATAATAATCCGATAAAATTTTTAGTCTCCAATTCGCAATTCCTGTCGTTTGCTCTATTCATTCTATCAAAAGACAAGGATAGAAATCGAATTTATGGGTATTCTTCCATTATTCGAAAAAATATATCGATTTTAAAACTTTCCGAAGACATTGAAAAATTAAGTTTTTTATTTTTTCGCGCTTACGATTTTTTGTTTTTTTTTCATTTCTTCTCTATAAAATTAGATCATAAAATTCCAAAATATTCCGCCCATATTCGAAGAAAAAACAGTGATTTCGAGTTTTCACCAACAGAAATGAAGAGAAACAAGTTTTCCCCATTCTCTAGCCGATCATTCATTTTTAATAATTTTCTGTCTCTAATCCGTAATTTTTGCAATTCATTCTATCAAAAGATAAGAAAAGGAATAAAATTCAGTAGTGAAGTGGTAAACCGAGATAAGTCAATTTTGACTATTGACCAGTTTTCAATGAATAGCTCGAAATCTATGGAAGATAGCAAAATTTTTATTATAACCTTTTTTGTGGAGCCCATTGCGTGCTACAACAAATGTAATGACAAAAATTTTGCTATCTCCTTTAGATTCGGAAATATTGCTCAAAAACTCGACTGAGAGATAAGTCGACTTATCTCGGTTTACCACTTCGCTACTGAATTTATTAGTATTCTTTTATTATTCGAAAAAAATCGAATACAAAACTTTCTGAAGACACGGAAAAATTATTATTAGTTTTTAGTTCTTCTCGCCCACTTTTTTGCATTTTTTGAATTTCTTCTCGCTGAAATATTGATATCCCTTTAATACTTGAAGAAAAAAAGTGATTCGAAGTTCCTGCCGTCATAAAAGAAGAAAAATAATCTATTTATTGATCTTTAACATAACTTATCTTGTTGTCCTTGTGAATTAATGTTGTAACTTGTGAATTAAGGAAAAAAATATAATAAGAATACGAATGGGTAAAATTAAATTGATCTAATTGCGAAAACGGAAATGGAAAGAAAATAAAATAAAATAGTATAAATTAATCTAGCGACGGGCGTTTCACGCCCGTTCGTTAGTTCATTAATTATTCAAATAAACTATCAAAAAACAGATTTGAAAAGATTGATATTTTTTCAAATCTGAATCCGAATTTTCAGATAAAGTATAAACAATTAAATTTTAATTAGTGTCAATGAATAGAGCTTATTGAAGTATATATTCATGAAATTCGATTGATCCCTTGTAAAAAAATTCCGAGAAAAAAATGAAGAAAAAACCACATATATATATACACGTATGTACATAGAACATACATACGTACAGGCACCATCTAAAAATCGCATATTTGGACATTTTAGACCATATTTAGTTACCCTAACACAAAAATTGGAAACTTGAGTTGTTTGCGACTACAAAGCTTCCATTGGAAAGCAAAAATGACCTCGCATTCCCTGGAGTTTCCATCATTAATTCCAGACATTATATTTCTATAAATCAGAAATAAAATTCTAGGTTCTACGAAGACAGCATTTCCTCCCAGACTACTCACCAACAGATGGGATCACAATAATAAACTTCTTCGCATACATGAGCCGCTTCAGCACGGGCATGAACTTGGCAAGAGCCTCATGGTCCGGCACCAGATACGCTGACATCAGCTTGGACCTGAGACTGCTCTCTAGTGCCCTAACCTCCGCCTTCAACCACAGTTTCCCCATGTGCCTCATCAGCTTGCCCCTGGACTGATCCTCATTCCCATTCTGCTTCTGATTTTTACAACTGTCCCTCTGCTCCTCCTCGATTACTCCCGGACCCTTGGGATCCTCCAACAAGAAGACTTTTTGTGTCTCATCGAAGGTCACCCCTGCCTCCTCCACCCTCGTCAGATCCTCTCCGAAGCAAATAATCTTCTGAGTCCTCAGTAGCACCTGCTCAGTCCTGCTGACATTGAAATTCCTCAAAATCCTCCAGTCCAAATTCTCGTGTGAACCTTTCAGCACGTCCAGACCCTTCAGGTCACTGTCCTCAGGCAGTGGAATCACCCCCACATATCCTCGAAATTTACTTTTATCCCTCAGAACCCCAGAGTCCTTCTTCAAATCGATCAGTTCATCAACATCAATCATCAATAAATTCGACAGAACCACAATCCTGTGTAAAAGTGTTCTCGAGCTCCTCGATATAATTTTGATGATCTCAGGATGACTCTTGATCCAGTCGAAGCAGATCTTGATCGATTGCAGCAATTCCTCTTTGCAAAAGATACCCAAAAGGTCCCTGGGGTTGAGGTTTTGCTTCTTCAGTTGAGCAACGAATGCCAGATCTGGGGGCTGGGCATCTCCATTGGAGATATTCTTCTCATTTTCTCCAGCAATTTCGTTTACCTGGGGATTATTCTTATCTGACAGACATTTGTCGTCCCCTAGGTCCTTTTCGTGACAATTTATCTCGATAATTGGAGCTTCAGATTCTTCATTTTCATTGATTAAAGTGTCATTTTCAATCTCGTCTTCTGATGGATCGTCCTGCCCCTGGCTCAACTCGTCCTCTTCTTCAGTCTCAGAGATGTCGGAATTTAGTTCATCACTGGAGGAACCTATCCCAGGACCGTCGATGTCACTCCCATCTGAGTCTGAACTGTTGATTCTCTTTCTAGGTCTTCGTAATTTTCTCAACAAATATTTAGATTTGTCTCGGGATTTCTTCGGGTTTCCATTGACATTTCCATTTTGTTTCTTTTGGGTTGGGGATGATTGTCTCGTATTGTCGTTGAGATCGACTGCGTTCAGGTCTTTATTCTCGATTTTTTCGGTGGTCTCAGGGGAAATTATGAGGCTGACACCTTCGCTATTCATTAACGATGTCTCGATGATGGACTCTTGGAGATGAATGATCGTGATTTGGATCAGTTTTGATAGGAGGGAGAGGATGAAAGCAATGATGCTCTGGACGTGAGGTGAGTTCTTAGACTGGAGTTTGGAAATTGACATGAGGCAAATTGCAACCATTTTGAAGACAACGTCTTCGGTGAGCTGGGAGCACTGATCTGTTTTGCTGTTCAGGAGGAATTCGTCGATTGTGTCGCCTTTCATCGGTGCATTCCGGGATTGGGGCTCAGGTTTTTCGAGGGTTAAGCAATTTTCCATCTCGGTTAGCAGATTCTGGAAGAAGAAACAGGGTTTAAGGCCCGAATGGATTATCCTTCGAACGTTATCTCGATTGGCTTTTCATCTCTATAATTTAAAATATATCACAATTTCCATTCGATTTTACAATAAAAAAAGTCGAAAAAACTGAACATTTCCAAAGAGCGTTTTTAATGAAGATTAGGAAATAAGTGCGATAGAAAGGAAATTGTAAGTGGATAATTTATCATGGCAACTAATCATTTAACAGCCATTAGATAGAATAAATTACACGGGTCGACTAAAAAACCCTTGGTATTTGCCCGCAGGATGGAATCAAGTGCACTTTATAGATTTTGATATGTAGATTCAGGATCTGGCCTTGTTTTGTCTCTAACACGTCTAGTTTTTGAAAAAATAAATATTTAAGTTGCTGAAATGACCGAAAATGCACTTCTTTGACATTTAATAATCTGGTGATCAGGAAAAGTTATAATCCAGCAAAAATTGAGAAAAAAATACAAAATCTAATGAACAAACTGGTGTCTCGGGATTTTCATTTGAATGGATGGAAACGGAATAAAAAAAATGTAATGAAAATGAATTTTCGGTACTTTTTATGGTTATTGAGTGTTTTTTATTTTGTTCGATGTAGTTATCGAATGTCATAATAAATTAGGTTTAAAAATACTTGCTCATGGAACCAATACAAATATTGCAGAATATTAGATTAGGTTTTCATCCCCCTAGTCAAAAATACAGGAGCGTTTCAATTATAAAATAAATAAGTTTTATTTAGCTTCAGAAAAGATTGAACGTTAAGTAACATGAAAATCAAATTCATTGCAATTGGAGAGAAAGTACATGAGGGATTTTTATTCGTCAATCACTTTGGATCGCCAGGGTGAAGTTGAATGAAATTTTCTCCATTTCCAAGCGCTCTACATGAGCTGTATTTTTGACTAGGGGGATGAAAACCTAATCTAATATTCTGCAATATTTGTATTGGTTCCATGAGCAAGTATTTAACCTAATTCATTATGGCATTCGATAACTACATCGAACAAAATAAAAAACACTCAATAACCCTAAAAAGTACCGAAAATTCATTTTCATTACATTTTTTTTATTCCGTTTCCATCCATTCAAATGAAAATCCCGAAACACCAATTTGTTCATTAGATTTTGTATTTTTTTCTCAATTTTTGCTGGATTATAACTTTTCCTGATCACCAGATTATTAAGTGTCAAAGATGTGCATTTTCGGCCATTTCGACAACTTAAATATTTATTTTTTTAAAAACTAGACGTGTTAGAAACAAAACAAGGCCAGATCATGAATCTACGTATCAAAATTTATAAAGTGCACTTGATTCCTACCTGCGGGCAAATACCAAGGGTTTTTTTGTCGAATCGTGTTATTAATTTGCAATGTCCTCCCTATCGGGTTTATTTCCCAATATTATTCAAAAACGCTCTTTGAAAATGTTCAGTTTATTATCAGCGTTTTTTTTTTATTAGACAATCATAATTTTGTGAGACTCGGGAGCTATGTAAAACTGAATGGTAATTGGAGAACATTGCAGTTTTTTTATCGAATAAATGATTTAGAGATTTTCTTAAAAGTTGAAGGATTATTTCTGTCTGTGATGAATTTTATGGGAAATACTTGTGAAAAAACATGAAAAGAAATTGAAAGGAATTATTATGGTCATATAGATGAATGATTCATTGAAAGGAATTAACTCCAAGTGTTCAGATTATGCAGACAATGACTTTATAATAAAGAACCTAAAGTGAAGAAAAATATTCTAGAAAGGGAAATATTATCATGCAACGTAATTAACATTCATTTTTCATTATTTTTTGCATTTTTATTTTTTAAATTTAGTTTTTCTGTGCCGAATATATTTGATTCTACTTAATATAATAATGAAAAGTATTAAATAATTATATTTTCAGAATATTACGTGAAAAAACGACTTCATCAAAAGAGAAAATTAAAATAAATTGTGAGAAACCATTATTCGCAACAAAAAAGTAATTTCCCACTCTCAGAATTAATTAATTTACCTCACAATCTTCATTTATCCGTTCCATACTCGAAGAATCATTATCCCACTTCTGCAATAACGTAAACAGTCTAGCAGCGCAACGTTGAGATGGTAATTTTTCCTTGTCATAATAAATATGAGTGGAAATGACTCTCTTGAGGTTGCCCTCAGTTCCCTCGAAGGGTTCAGAACAGAGAATGCATCTCAAGTAATGATAAACGGCCTCGATTCCGTAGTTTCTGTTGCCTGCCAATGTGCCCAGCTGATTGTGGGGCATTCCAATGTTTGGGTCTATTGCTATTGCCATTTTGTAGTATCTCGTGGCGATCATGGGATCCCAGTTGGGGTCTAGATCTAATTTGTAACGAGCCAGGTCACCCAGGCATATCAAACTTCTGTGAATTATTTTCATGACACATTGACGATATTCCTCTGATTGCAGCTTTGCTGGAGGCATTTTTTCTCTCTATAATGAAATTAAACAGTTCATTAAAGTAAATGATCCTACGCTCGTCTAGCTAAGGTGAACACATCATTAGTCCAATATTTCTATCGAGATGAGCGTGAACATGCGATGATTTAAATAAGATATCAGACGGTAAAACCTTCAGAATTGGAATTTACTTATGTTAATCATAATTACGATTTTTTAATAAATAATCGTCTGTAAATGAGAAAAGGCGCATGTCTCTACGCTCGCTCATTTGTGCCCATGCACGTTTGACACATGTCTCTATCTTCGTCTGGTGATTTGAGTGATATGGAAAGGTTATATCTGAACTAATTACATCGTGGCTATCTAATTTTGTGATAAAACAACAGTAAAAAATATCTCGAGGCACAAAATTCAGTAGCGAAGTGGTAAAACGATTTAAGTAGACTTATCTCTTTGCTGAGTTTTCGAGAAATATCTCCGAATCTAAGGGAGATGGCGAAACTTTCGTCAATATCTTTTTCACAGCTCTCAATTTGTTCTACAGAAAAGGTCGTAACAAAAATTTGGCTATCTGAATATCACTTCGCTACTGAATTATATTTCCATTGGAGAGTCCAATCTTTTAAATGATTTTTTCATCTGTTTAATGCGCGATCAGTTGACAGTGGGTTGCAAAACGAGCATAGGATCAATGCCATTTTTATTGTGCCTATTCTTTTAATTGTCGATATTTTAGTGAAATATCAGGAGATTACTATAATGTATGGATTTTTATTAAATTTTCAACTATCCGAAAGTTCAGTCAAGGGAATGTTAATCCGATTTTACTATTATAACGGAGATATCAACATTAAAAAATTGTGAGTTAATTCTCCAAGTTTTTTTTCATAACTGATGCAGCGAGTCTGCAGAAATAGCCTCTTGATGATTTATCTCAAACTCATTCATTATTGAGATAATTCAGAAATTAATAGGGAGAGTTGAATCGATTTGATTCATTTTAACATTTTACTAGATAATGTGAGGGAAAAATTGAAATTTCATGGGCAGTTTGGTAGTAATTTTCAAGAGAGCAACATTAAATTCCATTTAGACAAAAAAAATGAAATGCCACATTTCAAGAAAATAGTTGTCTTGATTTCCATTAATTGTTATGGAATAATTGTACCAAAACTCAAAATTTCCATCGATTTAACCACAAAATTCTCAATTTGTAATGACGAAATATCTTAAAATTTCGGTGAATCTGTCACTACAAATTTCAAAGGGAATTTCCCCAAAAAAGTTGTGGCAGTGAAATAATTTTCTAAATTTAACGGAAAAAATCAGTGTTGTGAGAAGAAATAACAGTGACTATCGAAACATTTAATTCACTAATAGATGAAGTTTGAGATAAAATTAAATGAACATGGAGTGTGTCATATCTTACAATGATGATGACATCTTTCCTCCCAGGAAATGCAAAGTCGACTACGCCCGATAAATCCAGCCCACATTCCTGTTGTAATCTGAGTATCAAGTGATGGTAGAATCCAACGCCCACGTGAAGATGGGTAGAGAGCAGTGCTTTTTCCGCATCACTCCAGACATTTCCCTGTAAAAACGGTTACTTTTTGGATTTGCAGACACTTCTAGGAAATTTAAAGTGAATGTCAAGCATCATGAATTTAATCTCATGGAAGACTTCATAATGGTGAGGCTCGAGCGATTTAGTCATGAAATGGTAAAACAGAATGAGTTGATTTTGCTTCACAACAGATGAAAATTATAAAATTCTGAAGAAAAATGAAAATTATCGTCACTTTCAAACTTTTGTAATAAATAATTTATGTTTCTATGTACCCGAAATGTTATGTCGTTTTATGTCCGGAGAATGTTTAAGCGTCAAGAGAACTACTTATTAATCGTTATATTAAGTATTTAGCAAACTTTTGGCTAGAATGAAATCAAATACTCTCATTAAATAAAAGGAAAAAAAAAATAAAAAGGGATAGATAAAAGGAACTTCAATTTTAGAGAAGATCGATTTCTCCCAATCAAATATATCTCAAGAAGAGATAACTGGCATTCACTATGAAATCATGTTTATTTGAAAATTAACAACCAAATGATAGTTCAAATAAAATTCTCGTGATAAAGCTAATTTTTTCTGTCCGTGTATTGGAAAACTTCCAAAAACCAGGAGAGTAACAAGGAAATAATTATTTTCAAAATTCAGATGACAACAGGTTGGCCTAAGCGGTTTTCAGCAAATTTATAAACGTAATGAAGTTGAAGATTCCACTTAATCTCTACGTTTTTAAAATTGCTGAAGACCGCTTAGGCCAACCTGCTGTCATCTGAATTTTGAAAATAATTAGAACTGTCAAAAAAACCTATTCAAAAAGGAATAATTACCTTTCTAAGTTTCTTGGCAGCAGCAACGATATCATAAAATCCTCTCCGCCAAAGCAACTCGTCAATCTTCCTGGCATGGCTCACCGGATCCTTCAGGATCAGTCGTTCGCAATAATCCTTTAATTTAGCCCTGAGAACCTCGCCCGATGGTGTAAAAATATCAGTCGCTGTCAGGGCACAGCTCTTCTGCTCATCGAGTCTCTTCGCAACATCTGTTGCTCCCCTGAAACCCAAAAAAAATTAAAAAAAGATGAAAAAAAAAGTTCTAGGTTATGTCATCAGGATAAAGGAATGGAATTTTTGCAATGTGATGCAGTACTCCTGGAATAATATTCGTAGCCACGTAAATATTTAATATATTTTGTTCACCTGTACAATCGTCTCGTAGCCTCGAGACTCTCATTACTCTTGTCACCAGAGTTACCGTATGATCTTTTCATTTTATTCTCTCAATTAACATTCACCTTTCCTCGTCGTATCAACTCATCTCTCCATTCACGCAATTTACTCTTCTCCTTGTATTCAACATTGTTACTCATCTGCCCGCTGCCTCCTGACGTGCGTATCTTCGTCTCGGTAAATTCGTCAAGCACGACATTCGGCCTTGTGCCCACTTTCTCATGTAGAATTATTTCTTTTAAAAATATAATCGACTGTCTATTTTTTGACCACTTTTATTCAATGGCACATTGACTGGATTATTGTGCGCATGCACTGTGGAATAGACTAGGTGCAACTGCGTGAATACGTATGGCGAATGAAAATTTTTCTGTCGGATTCAGCTGGAGGAGAATAGATATATATATATATGCGGGCTGGTTTAACCGCCATGTGTTTTTGTGGTACGTCGTGCGGTGGAAATGCACCTTGAGGGCGGCTAGCTCAAGCGGTGGCGCCACGACACTAGGCGGGAAATTCGAAGTGCTGGATGAGGTGGATATCGCTTGTCCCGTGTTTGGGCGTGACCGGTAAGCGTTGCTGGAATTGGCTATGACCCATTATGGGTCGACCCAATAACAAACAACTGATGAACAACGGCTAGAACGATTCCGCTCAACTAGAGATGCAAAATGAACGTAATTTTTGAGTCCGCGAAATATGACCGTAATTGACGCACATATTATAAATATGCCGCACAGATAATCAGTTCTAAGTTACGTAAAGGTGCATCGATTGAAAAAAAAATCAAAATGGACCCTTCGTTCAAGAGAAATCGTGTCCCAAAAATTTTTGCGTCACTTACATTCGCACACATTCAGACATGTGTTCAAAAACATCAGAGAAAGATTCGAGGCGTTATGAAAGGTGACAATTTCATTAAATTTCCACTTGATCTTCGGGGTGATTATAATCACTCCCTCCCCTCGCGTCGGAAAGTTGATAATTTTTAGCAATTAAAAAAAAAGCAAGGTGGGGGCACCGCCATTTTGAAAGTTTCTTGGGGTAGGAAGCAAGATGGCTGGCGCCCAAACCTGTCAACCACCTGGTATTATTAAATATTTCTCAAAATAATCTATCATCTGCAGACCACCTTCGACAAGTTTCATCCACTTCATAGAAGAAGAATAATTTTTTCAGGCTACCTTTTAGATTTTTTCATCCGGTTTTAACTAAGAATTCATGGCACAAAGTTTTTTTCAAATCACAGTAATTTTTTTAAACTTCCGACGTCTCTTGAATTTAGAAAAATCTCATCCAGTGATGAAACGAGATTGGTTAGTTGAACTCCGCGACCAGTTGTCGGAAGATATCTCGGCATTTGAGTGACATGAAATTCCATTGTAAAAAACCCTCTAGATTTCTCAGTTTGTTGAAAAATATTCCTCTAGAAATAGCGTTCCGATGGGATCCCTATGGATATTACTTACGTTATTTTATCATTTTGCTACAAGAACACGGAGATAAATATTCAATAAAAATTCTTCAATGAAAGCGAAATGTGGTTGTAGAAAATTCTACGGAACTGTCACGTAATTTTTATCTAAAATCACGGAATTTTTCTAAAGCGTTCCGTAATTTTTACCTGAATGTCCTGTAAAAAATTACGATACCATCATTTAAATTTTCTGAGTCGATTCCGTACTCGGTGAGCGAACTGTAAGTTCCGTAATTTTTACTGAACATTTCCCACCGTAAATCCCACACAACACTTCTTACGTTCGTCATTCATTATGAAATGTTGAGCAATAACACCAAATTGTCAGCATCATGTTTTCCAATATGGAGTGAATCATTCATTCAAGACGGTGGTGTCGCACTATTCCTGATTGGTCAGAATAAAAGCATAAAGCTAATTGTTGGTCGAATGCAAATATTGAAGTGCATATTGTATCTCGAGGTTCAAAAAGTGTTCCTTGCCTTCGCCTTCGCCTTCGCTTCAGGGGGGCTATAATGAAGAAAAAATTTGGCGTCGTGAGCATGTCACTTCACTTGGAAAAAAATGGAAAAAAATTTTTCTTTTTTTTTCATTCATCATGCGATGCGAACTCATTTTTTTTTCTGCGGAATAGACCGTCTGGGTCGAGGGCGAATGCAAAAGCAACGAACTTTTTTGAACACTTTTTTCATTTTCTCAACACTTAGAACCTAGTAAAATGCAAAACACATTGTGTTTTCATTTTTTTTCGTTTAACAGTTAACGTGAACGCTCGCTGTTTACTTACGATTTACCCCCAGATTTTAACCACAGTCGTCAATGAAAATTTTTTGGGTCACGTGAAGAGCAAAAATGGAACGCAAAAACCGATTCACTCGTTCAACAACGTGGGTTTTGGCGCTTAGTGTCAGGAATTCAATCTTTGAGATTCGTCAAGAATTGACTTCCCTCGTAAAACGCTAGAGACCAATCCGTGTCTGCTATCGCGTCCGATGCTGCGAAGCAACTAACGCGGGGATTCCCCCTCGATGCGCGCAGACCCCCACTATCGCGCGCGCATCTATTATTAAAATGGTTTTCACTGAAGTTCATGCGAGACGCAGCATTCTCCTCACTGCAGTGCCCCCATGCGTCTAGATGTCTCCCTCTTGAATTTAGTTTCAAATTTTCTACCCATAATTACACCCAATTGCAAATGCAAGCTCACTCCTCTCGGTTGACCTCACCCCAACAGCCGAGACAACGGGACAATAATATTTACTGTCCCTCCCCCAGGTGGTATTTTCTCACACGTCGTCTGCGTGTCTCGAATAGAAGGAAACTTTTGATCTCTGATCGAAAGGTAAAACCGAAACCTCGGGGGTGATTCGCGTGGCTTTTGTCCATCTGGGGTGCATAATCGAAAGGAAATTTTTCCTATGTCTGCGGCAGGGGACAATTCTCCATCGATGCGTTCCTCCGCCCCTCCGTACATTGCAACTCCTGCAGTATCAGAAGTTTTTTTTTCCAAGAGTTTGTTTCCAACTTTTGTTCCTATAATTTCACGCAACTGTATAGATTTTTTTCTGCGGCAATACCTGGGGAAAGACAACAATATTTATTGTCCCTCCTTCAGGTGTTATTTTCTCACACACCCCCTACATGTCCCTCACAGAAGAAAACTTTTGATCTCTGATCGAAAGGTAAAAAAAAAACCTTGTGAGTGATTCACATTGCTTTTCTTCACCGGGGGTGCATAATCAAGAGGGAGGAGTTTATGCTATGTCTGCGGCGCGGGACAATTTTCCATCGATGCATCCCTCTCCCCTCCGTATATAGCAAGTTCAGTAGTGACAAAAGTTTTTTTCCATGGGTTCCTCTCCAACTTTTGTTCCTATAATTGCACACAACTGTGCAGGTACTTTCTGCGGCAATAGCTGGTGAAAAGGCAAAAATATTTACTGTCCCACCCCCAGGTGTTATTTTCAGACATGTCGCCTAGGTGTCTCTCACGGAAGAAACTTTTGATCTCTGATCGAAAAGTGAAAAAAAACCTCAGAGGTGATTTGCCTTCTTTTTCCTCATCAGGGATGCATAATCGAGAGATATTTCTCCTTTGTGTTTCCCCTACAATGACGAAACTTTTGAACAGAAAATCCCTGGCGACAGTCTGGCATCGAAGAAAAAATAGAATCTGCTGTAGACAATCAGGAAAATTATGTCTCATGCACATGTCGATTTTTTTGCCAAAACTTAGTTTCAGACGCTCTCCTGTTTTCCGCGTTTCTTCCCTTCCTCCGTTCCAAGAGGAATGCAAGATCTTCCTACAATCACAGGATATTTCAGAATGGGAGAGTATAGAAGTGGTGGAGTTTCCTGAATAATTGAATGCAGGCTAATCATCCAGATTCCTGCATTTATGAATTTCAGGAGAGAAGATCCATATGTTGTCGCCAGACAGTGAGAGCGAGGTGAAAAGGGCCTAAAAGCTATGCTCATATATACCAAGTACTTAAGCCATTTTCAGACTATGATATGATATGATTTCTGCAACTGATTGCATGTTGTATAATTGTTTTCTTTGTGCACTCCAGAAAATATCTCTCTATATTATAAAAATCCAAATCGACTTCTGGTGATGAAAATTTGGTACTCAAAATTAAGACTCCAACATTAAGGGGCTCGAAGGTTATGAGAGTCAGAATAAATTCACGAGGGTCAGATTAAGGGCCACAGGAGGTGTATAAGGGTCCGAATAAGGGTCACAAGGGTCAGATTAAGGGTTGTATGGCTCATAAGGGTCATATTAAGGGTTATATGGGTCAGATTAAGGGTCACAAGATTAAAGATCACAAGAGTCAGATTAAGGGCCCAAATGGGGGTCACAAGGGTCAGATTAAGGGTCTAAATAAGGGTCACAAGGGTCAGATTAAGAGTTAGATGAGTCAGATTAAGGGTCACAATATTAAAGGTTACAAAGGTCAGAATAAGGGACCGAATAAGGGCCCCAAGGGTCATATTAAGGGTTATATGGATCAGATTAAAGGTTACAAGAGTCAGATTAAGGGCTCAAATGAGGGTCACAAGGGTCAGATTAAGGGTTTAAACAAGTGTTACAAGGATCAGAAATTCAGGGTCAGAAACTAAGGGTCACGAGGGGTATAATGAGGGTCAGAATGAGGATCATGGGGGTCATATGGGGGCTGGCGAGTGAAGCGAGCAGGGGGCATAGCCCCCTAATAATGTTCATATAATTCTGACTTCTGTGATGAAACAGTCACATTTTCCTGAGGAGAAAAATGCTATACGTGCATACCCGTATAAACGAATGCTATATGTCCTTCATAACACTTCCGTGAGAACCTCGAAAAATACCATAGGATGCTCAAGATTTGCAAAGTTGAGAACAGGGATAGCCATATCCATAAATTACAATTACTGTTAAATTATTAAGTAGGCAATTAGTTAATATCACTTTTAAGTTGTAATTATTGAAGTAATCATCAACTTAAATAGTTAATTTAAATTGATGAGATAGGAAGATTGACAATTATTTGGATAATCGGAAATCCCTTATGAAAAATGTAGTATTTTTATTTATTTTTGGTTCCATATGTATACCCTCTTGGGTTTTTACATTTTGTTCCCTTCCCTATCTGCGTTACCACGGGCCGACTTACTTTATCCCCAACAGCACCCCATTCGGGATTGGACTGCCAGGGAAACCATGGAAATCTCAGTCATGCAGCCGGCCGATAATGCAGGGATTCCACTATGTCCATTGGTCACACTGACTCAATGGGTACAGTGGTTCTCTACATTCGTGCCTAGCGGCTGTAGTCCCACGCGGTTAGGTGTGCCTAAGCGGACACCCATTCAAGTACTGGACAGACTGCACGCTGCTTAGCCTGGATGACCGCCGGAGCCACACACTCCTCGCGTGACCACTACAGTCACTTCAAAAAAAAAATTTAGTATTATCTACTTAATAGAAAATTTATAGTTCCATATTTTTAAATATTTAATTCATCGTCAGTTGAAAATTTAGATTATCAATTATTTAAGTATTTTTAAATCTCGATTAATATATTTAAACCTTGGTCAACGTAAGACGAAAATTCTTTGAATATTGAAGAATCGGAAGATTGATGACCATTCCTGGTTGAGAAGTACTCGAGAAATCGGATACATTCCATGTACGTCCTCTTCAAAAATTCATTCCTTTTACTGTATATTAAGGTAGCGGAGGCAGTTTCTGATCAGTAGGTAGTACTTGATCACTCGGCTATTTATTTATTAAGTGCGAAGTTTGAGTTGAATTGATCAAGAAGGTAAAACCAACAGTGCAAAGAATAAAATCCCTGCTTTCGCTAGTGATCTCAATTATGGCAGTGGTACCACTGTAAACTGTCAAAAATAAATAGTAAAAGCGCGCGAACGCGAGAAACGGCCATTTTCGCCGTTTGCTTGTGGAATGAGCTAAGTGTGTACCTGAAGCTTCAGCACTCAAATTTTACCATGTAAGTACCGAATGATCATAAATATGATATAAATCTCAAGTTAAATCATAGGAGAACAACTCAGAATGATAAAAAATAGATAAAAAAATTATTTTCAATAATTACTGTGGTGATCAATAACTGTCGCCTGAATTCTAACCTGTCGGTATTTGATGATCGAAGGATTCATGAGTGGTCAGCTCGGATTAATTGAGGCCAACTGACAGTTTTTTAAGAAAATGTCAGTTTAATAATCTGTCAATGTAAATATTCACCTTATCTTTCCCTCATGGTGGTAATTATCGTTGTTGTAACGATGAAAATAGTATCGAAAAATGGTGGGATGCCACAAGTTGATCATTTTTATTATTTATTATCCTTGAATTTGGTTTTTGCTGACCGCAGAGGCTAAAAACTACCTCTGATTACTTATTAATAATAAAAAAAATAATTTAATGATCAGTTAGAGATGAAACAAGTAGGAAATTAAGTCATTATTCTCCTCATCCCAATGATCAGAAACTGCCTCCACTCGTGATCAAAAACTACCTCATGCGACTAAATCGTGATCATAAACTACCGCCAAGGCGGAATTTTCTTAATGTTAATTTTTTATTAATTATTTGATATTTGTAGCTCAAAAGTGGATTTTTAATTGATGTTAAATGTCTGTTTTACACTTTAAAAGAAGTTTCACTCCGTTTTTATTTGCTGTTTTCTCATTTTTCACCTTAACCGGAGCCCGCCGAGCTTAACTGATCAGAAACTGCCTCCGCTCTTAACTAGACACGATTCTTATCTATTCTGATGATTCCTGCGGTGTCAGTTTCTATAGTCACTCCATGTAATGGTGACACCTAGTGATGTCGCGAGAGACTTTACGAGACAATACTTAGGAGAGATGGTCTCGATCTCAATGAACATGGAAATCTGGTCTCGTCTCAGTCTCGAAATACGCAGTATCGACACCTCTCGTGATGACTTCGAATCAATTTATCTCATCTCGTTCTTAAGTTTTTCATATTTTTAATGTACAATCTCGGTTTTTGTCTCGGTGTGTCTCGTGTCGGTTTTCTACATATAAAACCGCGAATAACTTGAAACCGAGATGAGGTAAATTCACTCAAGTCATCACGAGAGAAGTCGATACTGCGTATTTCAAGACTAAGGCGAGACCAAAAATTTCCGTGCTCCCTGAGACCGAGACAATTCCTCCAAAGTATTGTCTCGTGATGTCTCGTGAAATGTTTTGCGGCATCACTATTCCCGATAGTCACGTGACCTCACACGAAATTTTCTTTCCCCAGCGTTTGAGGCATGTGATTCAGCAGGAGATGCGGTAGTGTCTCGGGCAGAGTGAGAGCCCACCTAAGTCAACCGCACTCCTATTCGGCAAAATAGCGTAAACTTCAATTTGTGGATGTTTAACCTATCAAGTGGACAACTCAGTTGTAAAGAAAACGAAAATTGACTAAATAAATCACTCATGTTACAAATTATTTTTCTCATCAAATTAGAAGTGTTATGAGGTACTTATCCGGTCTCAAAAACAATAATTAAAGAAAATGTTCATAGATAATTCAGGACTTGTGACTGCAGTGGTAATAGTCGAATTTTGATCGGACAACATCGCACGCTTCGGCTAGTAGTGGGGTTGTAACAGTGAGATTAATGGTTATGTGTGTTATATGATGATAATTAAGTGCTGGAAGCACTGAATTATCGTCACCGACTTTTAATTGCAGATTAAATATGATCTATGAATTCAGTGTTCCATTTTTTTCTTTTTTGCACTTTAAATTGAAGGGGATAAAATTCGGAAAAAAAACAAGTGGAACATTTAACGGCGGGGAAGTTGTCGGTGGAAACATTGTCACCGGATAAGTTATTGTCGATTATTTTGTCGCCGAAATTTTGTCCACGGATGAAAAGTTACGGAACCATTACTAAAGTAATTTGGAATTGTGTTTCGTTGCTCATAAAAAAATTGTTTTCTCAAAAAACATGTTTCAGAAAGTTCACAGGATTTCTCTAAAGTCATGAACTTTGGATTCTACGTTTTCAATATGCTGTCGATCATGTTCACCAATTGCTATATGGGTCAGTCTTGGGAAGATGAGGTATGTTCTTGCATAATTAATGTCCTTGATCAAATTATGTACAGTGAAACATGATATCTCTCGCATCATCTCTAACAGTTGCACTTCAGCTTCTTCTGTTACGATTATTATTTCAGGTTCTTAAGCTGTCTGATGCATTCTATGACCACGATTGGACCGATTTACCGCTTTCCTGTCATTCATGATATGCATGGTACGTGCTCAAAGACCGTTGCAACTAACGGCCGGAGGATTCTACAAATTCTCTTTAAATGGTTTCACAAGCGCGAGTATTTTTTTCAAAATGAATTTGCGATCTACTTATAAGTATTTATTGCAGATCATTAAATCCATAGCGGACTTCTACTCAATGTTGAGGGCAATGACTTGAAATCAGTATATTATGGGCCAAATGTGTACTAAAGATTCAAGATACTAAATTATGTAAACGCACTCACAAGGTTCACAACCCGACTATGACGATTGTAATTAATATAGTTCTGTTCTGATGTTATGCACTAAAGTTGTAATGCAATATGTTCAGTTGGTTATACAACACATATTTTCCTCAAGAAGAGTCGCCTTGATTCAAGATGATTTGCCGAGTTGATTAAAAACGATTTTTCGAATTGATTCCAAGTGATTTTTCGACTTGATTCAAGTCGATTCCTTGAATCCGTTCATTCGAATCGATATTAATCGAGTCCGAGACACTGGACTTGAAATGGGTCGAAAATCGACTAGAATCAATTCAACGCGAACGTGAATCAGCCCCTCGTAATCCGAATCTAATCAACATCAACTAATTGGATCCGGAAGAAGAATCACAATTACCCCTCCAAATTCTGCTGGTGTCACAACACATAATCTACTTTTACCTGTCACCTTTCCACTGACCACTGAGGGATCTTAACAACTCAATAGTTGCGCATGCCTAGTTCAACGTCAAACGCCTGAGATTTACGAAGTTGAGAAGTTACCAAGAAATCGGATACATTATGCATGTTCTCTTGAAAAATTAATTGCTCCCACTGCGCATTCGCCATACTTTTTTCCTATTTCTTCTGCGGACGATTTCTGCTGCGTCTGTGTCTCTAGTTATTTCACTTCATGATGACACCGGATACCGAGTTGGAAGTAAAGTTGCTATCGTTGATTCAGCTTGCCATTATTCGTCATTTAACTTCAAGATTCTTCGTTTCTAGGCGAGATTCATTAAGGCGCAGAATGTTTTGCACCAAGTGAGTCGGTCGATTGCATTTTTAGGGATGTGGCCGGAGGAGATAACCAGTAGCAGCCGAATAAGACTTGCTATGTACTTAACGTATCACATATTTCGGGTCCTGATGGAATTGATTGAATTTGCAATGGTTCTTGGGAATCTCCAACTGACCATCGATAATGTCACCAACACGGGTTTCCAAGTGGCTGTTATATTGAGACTGACAAGTTGGAGATTCAACCCAAAGATGCGGTATGCTATTGAGAAATTCAATGAATTTCATCAACGGCATGAGTTCCAAAACACCAGGGAATTGGATGTTTTCATCAGATATAGTGAATATTCTCTCGCTGTTTACAAAATCATTAGGACAACGTCAGTTGCATGCGTTGTCTCGTGGTACTTAACACCATTTCAGAACTATCTCTTTGCGAGTGAGTGATGATTATAATCCATTATCTCGTTAGTAATGTCTCATTACGATCTTCATGCTTTCAATTTGAAGAGTTACAGAACGAAACATTTGTTTTTGTTTATCCGTTCCGAATGCCTCCATTCGAGATTTTTTCGAGACTCGATGTGGCCTTTCTCGTTCATTTTACTGACATTGGAATGGCATACGTGAGTATTTGTTTTGCACTAACATATGGATTATATTTCACGATCATCCATCATATTTGTGGTCAATTGGTCATCATGAGTGACAGAGTGAGGAATCTTAGAGTTGATCCGACTGTATCGATGGCAGAGGTTTTTCGTCCTATCATTGAGAAGCATACAGCTATAATCCGGTGAGTGTGAGTGATTTATAATACTTTACCAGTTGGAAAATGGTTATTAATGAGATCCGTTCTGTCCAGGGTGTCGAAAGCGTTGGATGATTGTTCGAATGTTTTTCTGCTTTATGAACTATTGAACACCATTATCGTTATTGGACTGCTCGCATACTATTTAATAGTGGTAATATTCTGCTTCTGATGTCTTACATACAATACCCTCATGTTTTAATGAAACCTTTGAATGCGCTATAATCTCTAGAAGTCCTTGAGCAAATTGATTCAGGATTGCAAAATTTTCATTGTCGATTGCGAAATATTGTAGAATGGAATGTGCGCTGCGTCTGTCCTTCCCTTATGATCACAAAGGAGGCCATGAGCCTGCCAATTTTTACGCCAAATTTTCTCATTTCAATGAACTTTACGTTGCAGGACGGAGATGCAAGTTCAGCTGTCATTGTCAATTATTCACTGGCTACGATCAACATATTGGTGCTTATATTCGCGAATTGTTTCATGGGTCAGTGTCTAGAAAATGAGGTACATTATTTATCGGCAAATTAATTGCGAATAATTCGCATGAATTAGTCTATTCTGCAATTAGGACAGAAAGTTAGAGCTTCTTGACTGGTTTTCCATAATTTCACAGTAGATTTTGTCATTTTTTTGTGAGGAGGAGTCAAGTGGGTGTTCTCGTTAATTTCTCCTCTTATCGAAAAGAGAAGTAAACATTTTGCGTGCAGGGTTAACAGAATGATTACACTGAGAAAAATTTTCTAGAAAAATTCATGTGCTAGCACCATTACAGTAGACTCTTGCTAGTTGCTCATCGAAAGGGTGTTGGAGTACCATTTCCAAGAAATGAGCAACTTTCCACCGGTCCCCACTCCTCGACCAATGTCGACATAAGCTCTCAGAAAAATGAGAGGGAGCGAATAATTTTCGAATTATTTGGACCTCTGTGTTTACGTACGGAAGACAAACGAAAGAGATAAGGCAGCCGAGAGTAGGTGGCAGTGCTCGAGGGTCCGAGAAGGGGATTAGGGGAAAACGAGCAATTAAGGGGCCGTCCATATATTACGTAAGACGTTTAGGGGGGAGGGGGGTTTAAAGATTTCATACTTTTCCTTACGTGGGGAGGTGGGGGGTCGTCAAGGATCTTACGTAAGATTTTTTCGTGTCTTTTTCATTAATTTTTTGTTTTTCAAATCACAAACCTATTTCACTTCGTTGTACATCAACCCTGATAGTGCCATCTCCAACAGAATTACAAGAATCAGATCATTTCATGCCATTATTCCTAAGAATGACGCTGGAAGGTACTATTCCATGCACCCACAAATGTGTTCCCTATGATTTATTCTGTCCATCGCTGAATGATCAGCTCGGGGGGAGAATGTGATATCTGTAGTAAATACTTTGCATCGAAGAAGTCAGTGAGCTCTCACAAAAAGTGCATTTTATCTCCTGTAAACCTCAGCGTCGAAGAGTAAAGAAAGTCATTTCACGACGTGACCAAGAACTCATGCGTGTCATCGAAGAAAATAATAAAACTGAGGGAGTTGTTGAATGGGTAAATGAAGATATTACAGTCGATTCTGAAGAGGAAGTAACCTTGACTGGAGAAGAGATACGGGATATTCCAGTTGCTACTCCTCTCTCTGATTGGACCTTGGACCAAAGAAAGTGATGACAAAGAATAGATATTGTTTATCAAGTTACTTTTGTGTGTTGTGTAGTTCATATCAATATTATTTTATTAAATTCACGCAATGTTTTCTAATGTTCTCATTGAATAAAAAAAACATAACTTTGTATGTGCTCATCCATTCCCCATTTTCCGTAAGATTTCGGGGGGGGGTCAGTCAAATTTTACAAAATCTTACATGGGGGGGAGGGGGGAGTCCAAAGCAGCTGAAAATTCCCTTACGTAATATATGGACGGCCCCTAACGGGCGTGCAACTAGCGAAAGACTACTCCAGCACCAGAAAAATTCTTGTGCAGCACTAGAAAAATGGTCGTTCAGCACCGGAATAATTATTGGGCGCACCAAAAAAATTATGGTCCGCCTAATAATTTTTCCGGTGCTAGACAATAGTTTTTCCAAGTGCGCGGATTGTGAATCGTTTGTGGTGCTCAGCGCATGAATTTTTCTGGAAAATTTTTTCTTCGTGTATCTTATCAAGAAGTTCAGTTTTTTCAACCAATTATTTCAACAGAATCTCACATAAGAAAATGATTAATTTAAAGCTTGTTACCTAGTTGTCTAATTTTTGTCAACCGCACTATATAGGAAATTCTTAACTATTACAGAGCATGAATCTGCTCGAAGCGTTCTACGATTACCAGTGGCATGACATGCCGTTATCCTATCAGAGAGGATTGCTAATTTGTATGCTATGCGCCCGATCGCCGCTGAAGATGACAGCGGGAAAATTCTACAAATTTTCGTTGGAAGGTTTTACAATCGTAAGCATCGAAAAGTTGATCATTTATTATTATGTAAAATTTTCTTTCTCATGTCTTTGCAGATACTAAAATCATCCATGGCCGTTATTTCAATGTTAAGGAAAACAGTTTAAAACGGAGGAATAATCAATATTACGTGTATTGTTCCAAAAGAAAATGGAAATAATTGTGCAAAGATGTTGGTGTAAATTTCATAACCAAATTGTTCAGAAAATATAAACTAACGCAATATGATAACACCAAAGAAAGTTGTCTCATGTCGATTGAAATTTTGAAAATCAACTCATGTTATTTTCTGTATGATTCCGGAAAATATAAGAGAAATATTGCTCGGATTTTCTTTATTACGACGTGACGAAGAGCACTTGGACAACACTTAGCCGTTATGTGAGCTCATTACTAATTAAAAACAGTTGAAAATCTTCAATTTTTGCAAGTCAATTTTCAATTAAAAGCAATACTCCAACGTTTCTGAATAAAAAATGACTTACTCACGGCCCAAATTTGAGATCACACAAAATCACCGCAGATGCTGAATCCTTACTCACAACCGATTGTTTCCTGAACTCTCTCAGTATATTCTAATTTCTTTTATCTGTTGCATGACTCAAAACAGTATTTTACATCAGAAGGTCCACAAAGTATTTTACGAAGGATCTGCGTTGTAATCAGAGCCCAAGGCACGTTTTTTTTATCACTGGGTCCAGAAACAGCGATCTAATTGGGCAAAGCGAGGTTAGAATCGTGGTTCTAAAACCTAGTGACGAAAAAATTTCATGTTATGAATGTAGAATACAGGACGATTATTGCACTGATCGAAAAGTACAATAGAACTTGAAATCTTGACTGTTCACATTTACATGAGCAACTGACGCGCGTACAAAACCACTGAATTTGTGCGCGTGGATAGTCTTCACTCGATCGTTGAAGGGGAGTTGCGAGCCACGATTCGATTGTTAATGCAGAAGATTTCCACGGAATAAAATACATAAATCATGGACTTTTGGAAACTCCGTATTGCGCAGGAGCCAGAGACGGATTCCTGCACTGCCCGCGTATATCGGTATTTCTGTTATTTCAACTCCCGTTCACTTCGCCATGATACCAGATAGTGAGTTAGAGGTAGAGTTCCTCCTGAGTAGTTGCTTTTATATTCTGTTCTCATTTTTCATTTTGCAAAATTTTCTGTTCTCTAGGAGAGATTCCAAAAGGCGCAGAATGTTTTGCATTACGTGAGTAGGCCAGTTGCCTTTTTGGGAATGTGGCCAGTGAACGTAACCACTGGCAGCCGGATAAGAATGGTTCTATATTTCATATACCACATTTATCGCATGGGAATGGAATTCATCGATCTCGTCATGGTTTTCGGGGATCTTGGACAAGTCATTGAGAATCTCATGATAACGGGCACCCAAGTAGCCCTCATGATGAGACTTTCATTTCCAAGATTCACTGTGAGTATGCGTCGAGTGATTGATGGATTGAGCGACTTGCACCAACGTACCAAGTTCAACGATACCAGAGAAATGGAGATCTTTATCAAATACAGCGAAATTTGCGAGAGATGCTACAAGATTGTATTATGGCCAGCAACCTTCACCTGTGTCTCGTGGTATCTCACGCCGATTCAAACCTATTTCATAATGAGTAAGTAATATTTACAATAAAAATTTAACCCTCGATCACTCGCTCAATGAGCGCGGCGCCGCCCGTTTTCGTTTTTTTACATTTTAGCGTATTTCTCGACGCTTAAAAATGCTGAAAAAATGAGAATTCCTAGTTCAATCTTTGTATTACGCGTTGGCGTTGTCCGTGTTTTTCTCGGGAAATTTCTTTAGCTAAAAAAAAAAAGAAACGTTGAACGGACAGAAAACCAGCGCCGCCCGGTGCGACTGAGTCCCTGTCGCCCCTCGAGTGACAGTGTTGCTACATTCACTGCCACACTTGAAATGCGCCCATAGCGGTAAGCGCCAAGGTGGCAACAGCGCACTCGGATTAACCCAGCGATGCTGCGCTAACCGTGCGACGGATGAAGACTGGCGGCAGAGCGCGAGTGATCGAGGGTGAATCTTGGTGCGTCATTGGTTATGTCAGCCTGAGATCCATGACTTTTAGCTCATAATGAAGCTGTATTTTTTTCCCTATTGAAGAAATACAGAATGCAACCTTCGTATATGCATCTCCTTGGCGAATGCCTCCGTTCGAGGCTATGGAGAAACCCGAGGTAGCCATCTTTCTTCATCTTATCGAAATACCGGTGACATACTTGACTGCTTGTTATTTGTTAACTTACTGCATATATTTCACCCTCATAAATCACATCCGGGGTCAACTAGTCATCATGAGTTACAAAGTCAAGAATCTCAAAGTCGATCGTGCAACTAATGTAAAAGAAGTTTTCGGTCCCATTGTCGAAAAGCATATCACAATACTTCAGTAAGTGAGACTCATCATCATGAAACTCGAAAGAATAAAAAATGATAAAGTTCTTGCAGTATAGCAAAATCGTTGGACGACTGTTCTCATCTCTTTCTTCTATATGAACTCCTTAACACGACTCTCACTCTTGCATTACTATCGTACAACATAATGGCGGTAGGATACACCTTCGGATGTGACTGATTATCTCAAAACTGTGGATGAGCCATGAAAAATTGATCTTAACAATACTTTTCAGAACATTAGTTTGAGTGAAACTGCTCTAATCATCAACTTCTCATTCTACATGTTCAACATGACCGTGTTGGTATTTGCCAACTGCTACATGAGTCAGTGTTTGGAGAATGAGGTACATTTTCCACCAACTGATCACGTTGATAAAATTATCCTTGTGTACTGAGTGAAAAAATTAGCACTGCCGGAAAACTATATGTTCCATTGAGAATATTTGATGGAGTGGAACAGATTTACTTCAGGGAAATTAACCAACTTGGTAGAAAGAAATTTAATATCTTTCACAAAAATTAAATTTTTGTCGGGGACATTAGAAATATCTCAAGGAGAATTCTAACTGTTGGCAGGAAAAAATATAATCTACCGTACGACAATCATTAGATCTGGGAGAACTCCATAGGATTATACCATTGAAAGAATACATTGGTGAGGAAAAAAAACTTCAATTTTAACTTAAGTAGCATTTGTCAGAATGATGTTAACATCGCGATTTAGCGCGAAGTGTGAACTTCGCGATTTAGCGCTAAGTATGAACTTCGCGATTTCTCGCGAAGATCGCCGTCATTTTAGAACGCACCGTTCGATTTGTTTTTTCTACGGTCTCCCTCCTTGAGACAAGTCTAAACTTCAATTTCAACTTAGGTAGCACTTCACCATGATTTTGATAAAAGCGAAGTCTTATATAATTCTCTGTGGAACGAATGTATTTACCCGAAAGTCATAGAAATGTCTCACGAGAACAATTACTACTACGAAAATGATCATGGTTTGGTGGAAATTGTCTTTTTTGTCCACAAGTAAATTTATTTAACACGACAAAAGATCTCTTCAAAGGACCATATAATTTTACGGCAGAACTAATTTATTCTCTCATTGTCAGTATGAACTACCCATGATCATAATTTCAGGCGATGAACCTGTTTCATGCCTTTTACGAACACGATTGGAACAATCTACCGCTGGCATATCAGAAGGCATTCATGATATGTATGCTGCGCGCTCAAACACCCCTGAACATTACAGCCGGAAAATTCTACAAATTCTCATTGAGTGGCTTCACAAGTGTTAGAATTTTGACGTTTGTCATGACCAATTCCGAATTCAATCAGAATCTTTTCTTGCAGATCATGAAATCATCCATGGCCTTCGTCTCAATGTTGCGAGCAACGATTTGAAATCCGGACATGGTTTTCTGCATATTCTAAGAACACAAAATCATTTAGTACAATTATGCAATTGCAATGAGAGTTTGGAATCAGAGTTGACTGCTAGAATTGTAATAAATATGGACAAAGATACATGTATGATGTGGAAGATGAAGTACATTATTCTCTAGCCCCTTGAGGGCCAAAAGATAGACCATTACAGGCCGTTGTCCTATTAAAAAGAATTGCTGATTTGTGTGCGAAGTGCCCGATCACCAATAAAGATGACAGTGGACTTCACAAGAGTGAGCATCGAAGAGTTAATTATTTCGAATTGAAAATTTTATGATTTCTATCCTTGCAGATGCTCAAATCATCTATGGCCTTCGTTTCAATGTTGAGGACAACAGTTTAAAATGCAAAAACAACCAATATCACGTGTGTCGTTTCAAAAAAGAATAGAAGTAATTGTGCAAAGATATCGGTATAAATTTATTATCAAATTATTTAGAAAATATAAACTAACACAAGATAATAAGACCAAAGAGAGTTGTCTCATGTCGACTGAGTACTTGAAAATCAACTGATGTTGTTTTCACTTCAGGTGTTATGTTTATCACTTATTGAAATTTCTACAGAAAACTTGCATTCTTTATACTTCCGAGAACTATAAGAGAGATATTGTTTTGAATTTGTTGATCATGACGTGACAACGACGGTTAGAGCAATGTGAGAAGGATGGGGAGTTGCTGTCTTCCATTGTTCCAGGCACACAGTAAGATTTACAGCATTTGCACGGAGAGTAAAGAATCGGAAGTAGTCTGGTGATCGCAAGACTTTTCCCGATGATTCTGACGAAGGGTGCCCCTCTAGCGTGAAAAAATCGGGAAAAATCCGATTTCACATCTATATCGATAAAGAATTTTCGAAAGGATCCGATTATACAGACTGTTCAGAGAATGGCTTGCGTTTAATCGGGGAAATCCTGACAATTTTCGGAACTCTCCTCAGTCAATTATTGAGAACTCTAGCACTGAATGACGCGCTCTACCGGCCGCAGCGCGTACTAGTGCGAGCAGATGACTTGGAGCCACTGAATGAGTTTATGTATACAAAAGAGTTGTTTTTTGCCGGTTATTATTAAATTTCTCGTGATTTATATTGTTTGTGCACAGTTCCAAAGTCATCCTAAAAGCAAAGAGCATACTATGTTTCAATCAAAAAATGGAATTCGACATCAGAGTAACAAAAAACAAAGAATTTTGCAGTGTGCCTAGCTGTAATAGTTTAGCCTATCGTAATCAGTGAGATTCTTCCGATTTCCTTTAAAAAAACAAGAGTTTCGTAAAACTGAAGAAGAAATTCGGTGAAGAAGAAACAGTTGATCGTCTAACTGTAGCCTCGAGATAATTTGATTTCGATGCATAGAATAATTTCTTACCATTCGCAGTCATTCTACCAGTTTTCTTGAGAGTTTTCCGATAGATTCGATTCTGTTGAAATGTCGTAAAATTGACGGTAAAAAAAATACATTTTCTTGTGCGCCGAAGAGAAAATCACAGAGCTCACTCATCTTATGAACTCCCCCGGCAAAATACCGATGGCGCACCAGATTTTATCCCTATCTTTTTTCTCCGTGCGGCTATCCATGTGAGGTCCTTAAGGATGTTCGACACCCTTTTAGCCAAAATTGACGTTGTTTTCATTTTTCTGGCAAATTATCGATGGGAGTGACGTGAAAAAATATAACGATTTTGTGGTTTGTCATTCTTTAATGGCTCACGAAGTTGCGTAGTGGTGCGATAATTTTCATGCGTTTTTTCTACAGTTTTGTGATTCTTTTTAAAAGTTTAGAGAAAACGCAGGAAAATGTTCGCACCACCTTAAAATTTCGTCAGTCATTAAATAATGACAAAACGCAAAAACGTTATATTTTTTCACGTCAATTCCATCATAAGTTTGCCAGAAAAATTAAAAAAACGTGAATTTTTGCAGAAAGGGTGTAGAACATCCTTAAAAAATCAAAACTGTTCAAATTCTTCAACTTCTGACAGTCAATTTTTAAGTACTAAGCAATATTTTAAACGTTTTTGAATAAAACAAGACTTACTTAAGTCGCATACTTGAGTTCACGTGAAATCATTCGTTTAATATGTTCCAATTTCTTTCATCGGTTTCTTGTCCCAAAATAATAATTTACATCAGACGATCCATTCAGTATTTTCTAAAGGATCTGCGTTTATAAAAAGAGGCCACTATGAGTTTTTCCTCGAGGGACATGAAAACCGCAGTCTAATTAGACGAATCGCGGTTAGAATCGCGGATCTAAGAGCTAGGGACAAAAAAGTTCATGTTTTGAATGTAGAATACAGGATGATTGTCTGATTATTATACTGATCGAAAGGTATAATAGAACTTGAAATCTTGACTGTTCACATTGACATGAGCAACTGACGAGCGTTGAAAACCACTGAATTTGTGCGCATGTCTAGTCTTTACTCGATCGTCGAAGGGGAGTTGCGAGTTGGGATTCGATTGTTAATGCAGAAGATTTGCGGGAAATCAAATACATAAACCATGGACTTTTGGAAACTCCGTATTGCGCAGGAGCCAGAGGGGCTACATCGGCATTTCTGTTATTTCAGCTCCCATTCACTTCGCAATGATAGCAGATGCTGAGTTAGAGGTGGGGTTCCTCCTGAGTAGTTCCTCTTCCATTCTGTTTTCATCTGACATTTTGCGAAATTTTCTGTCCTCTAGGAGAGATTCCTTAAGGCGCAGAATGTTTTGCATTACGTGAGTAGGCCCGTTGCCTTTTTGGGAATGTGGCCAGTGAACATAACCACTGGCAGTCGGATAAGAATGGTTCTATATTTCATATACCACATTTATCGAATGGGAATGGAATTCATCGATCTCGTCATGGTTTTCGGGAATCTTGAACAAGTAATTGAAAATCTCATGATAACCGGGACACAAGTTGCCATCATGATGAGACTTACATTTCCAAGATTTACCTCGAGTATGCGTCGAGTGATCGATGGATTAAGTGACATGCATCAACGTGATAACTTCACTGATACCAGAGAAATGGAAATCTTCATCGAATATAGTGAAATTTGCGAAAAATGTTACAGGATTGTGGTATGGTCTGCTACTTTTGCTTGTGCCTCCTGGTATCTACTACCGGTGCAGACATATCTCATCGTTAGTAAGTAATATGTATATAATAATATTTATTACTGCCCTAGCCTCACCATCAGACACGTGAGTCTGTTGAATGAAGCAATAGAATATTTATGATTTCATAATATCCAAGTACTTTGTTCAAGTTAGCAATTTTTTTTCATGCAATCAACCATCGATCGACTGACTACACAGAGAAAAAAAGTAGATTAGCTTTAGAAAAGTTTCTAAATGTAAGAAACCGTGGTTTCTAACCTTCACTTTTCTAAAATCTAGAAAATTTTTCTAATTCTGAGGGGGACGGTTATAAATAAGGGGCTTCATGTAGGAGGGAATCATACATCTGCGTAGTGATATCTGGGAGGGGGGGAGGGGGTCTCATATACGGAGGGATTTTATTGAATGGAGGTTTCATCAATGTGGGGGAGGATTTTACATAAGAGGGCCTAGGAGAGGGGCAGGGCGTAAAAGGGCGGATTTATATGGAGAGTCATGCAAAGAGAGGGGTTTTGTGAAAGGGTGGTTTTATTGTTGGGGAGGGGTGTTTGTCGCTCTATTTCGGAGAGGGGGGGGGTGATTCGTAAAGGAGAATTTTATTAATGGGAATGAAGATTTATGTGGGTGGGTCGTACAGGTGGAAGGTTTTGACACCTCTCCCTTTGTATGAGGCATCTACGCAATTTAAATACTTCGGCCGCAATTTGTGTAGTTAAATCCGGCAATTTTTTAAAATTAAGAAAAATTCAGCATCGGTTTTAGAAAATATTTGTTCTGAAAAACAATCTCCAAATTCGTTACTTTTCATGATCCCACCAAGGATAAAGCTCAAGAACAGGAGTTTCTAAAATCTGGAAACTATTTTCTGAAGCTAATCCACTTTTTTCTCAGTGTATCGACCAAGGATCAACCAACATCTATCGACTATAAACCGAGCGAACAAGTCGACAAATCAACGAATGTCACAAATCGGCAGTAGACAAATCAACGGTTAGTCGATCTATTGTCTATTGCTGGTCAATGGTTAGTCGATCATGGGTGAATTGCAGGTCAACGGTTAGTCGATCGTCAAGTATTGGTCGTTTCCCAGTTGATCGTTAGTCGATCGAGGGTTGAGCAAACATCAGCCATTCGTGATGTTAACTGGGCGTGAGGCGGCACTGATGCTCCAACATGGCCGACATAAAACGCTTCAAATGAAATCAACAAAAGTGGTATTAGGGAAGCCTTCGCATTGATACACACAATTGAGGCTTATCTCTGATTCGATTAATTATGCTCTTCAATAATAAATGGTTTTTTATTCCATTGGTCTCCTTAGAACCTGACAGTGTGACTCAAAAATTGTCAATTGAAAAATTTCATGTCAGCCATCTTGTAAACTTCAGCGCCGCCACTCGCCAATTTAACATCGCGAATTAACCGGTGACCGACCAGAACTCGAACAAGTGATCAACTCGATCCCTCAATCGAATGATCCTTTCAAGGTGGTACTGAATATGGATGTTATCACTTCCAAATAGATAGTCAAAAGGAATTACCATTTGAGGCTAATTTGGAAGCTTGTTCTCGCGGCAAGAGTTCCGATTTGCTCTCAATCGAGTAATTTACACTCCATTGTTTTTTTTCAAGAAATTCGCAACGGAACATTCACATATGCATCTCCTTGGCGAATGCCTCCGTTTGAAGCGATGGAGAAACCCGAGGTGGTGATTTTACTCCACCTTATTGAGATACCAGTGGCATATTTGACTGCTTGTTATTCATTGACATATTGCATATACTTTACGCTGATAAATCATATCCGGGGTCAATTAGTCATCATGAGTCATAAAATCAGAAATCTCAACGTCGATCCTGTAACAAATATGAGGAAAATATTCAATCCCATAGTTGAAAAGCATATCAAAATACTTCAGTAAGTGAGAGTCATCATCAAATCATTCGAAAGAACCATCAATAATGAAATGTGTTTTCACAGTATATCGAAATCATTAGACGATTGTTCTCACATTTACCTGCTATTCGAGCTTCTCAATACCATTCTCACTCTTGCATTGCTTTCATACAACATAATGATGGTAATAAATACTTACAGATATGACACGCTCTTTTGAAATTGCGGATGAGGTATACCACGATGAAATAATCTTGAAAACCTGTTCCAGAACATTAATCTGAGTGAGACTGCTTTGATCATCAATTTTTTTGTCTACATGTACTTCATGACAGTACTCGTATTTGCTAATTGTTATATGAGTCAATGTTTAGAGAAGGAGGTATTATCCCTCGACTAGTTACATTGACGGAATTATTCTTGTTATTTGTCATGATCGTTATTCTAGGCTATGAATCTGTTCTATGCATTTTATGAACACGATTGGAGCAATCTGCCACTGCCATATCAGAAAGCGTTCATAATCTGTATGCTGCGTGCTCAAACACCGTTGCACATCACAGCCGGAAAATTCTACGAGTTCTCCTTGAGTGGTTTTACAAGTGTAAGAATTTTGACGTTCGCTATGACTCATTCCAAATTGATTCGTCATTTTTTACAGATCATGAAATCATCAATGGCCTTTGTCTCAATGTTGAGGGCAACGATTTGAAATTAGGACATTTTTGTCTCACGCATATTATAAGGATACAAAATCTTTTGGTGCAATTGTGCAACATCAAGGGTCTGGAATTGAAGTTGACTGTTAGGATTGTGATATCGTCCATTCTAAAGTTGTTTTGTAAAAGTGTTGGAATGAAAAGCAGTCGATTCTGAGATCCATCCCTTTGAATTGCTTTTCCTTCCCATAACAATGTCTCAATGTCATTATTAGGAGAAGAATCAAATTCTCGATTTCCTCATTGAGAACTAATGAGGATCTCACTCGCAACTCATTGTCTTCTAAATATTGCCATTTGTTTGATGCCTCTTACACTTCTAGTATTGGATACAAGACGAATCGTTATTATCGCACTGATCGAAAGGTCCAAGCGGAATCATTCTCACTGCTCACACACTCACAATGAACTGAAGATTGTTGGAAAGACTGAATTTGTGCGCATGATCAAATTTGTATCGATCGCCGAGAGAAGTTTCGAACAGCAATTATCGATTATTAATGCAGGGGAATACCAAATACCACGAACTTCTTGCAGCTCTACTACTCGCATTGCGCAAAAGCTGGTAGGGATTTCGATTCTGTCTATGTTGTTATCTCATTGTAGTTATCCTTCACTTCTCAATGTTATCGGACACTGACCTAGAGGTGATGTTCTTTTGCTGTTCGATTGGCAGTCGGTTTTTACCTACGAATTATGTGACGAATAGAAATAACTTGATGTTGTGAAAATTACCCTTCTCTAGGGGAGATTCATCAAGGCACAGAATGTTTTGAATTATGTGAGTCGGCCAGTTTCATTATTAGGAATGTGGCCAGTGAATATAACAATCGGCAGTCGTATAAGAATGGTTGTGTATTTCATCTATCATTTTTATCGGATTGGGATGGAGTTAATTGAGTTTGTCATGGTTTTCGGGGATCTTGGGCTTGTCACTGAAAACCTTTTGATGACAGGTGTACAAATAGCTATAGTGTTGAGACTGACATTACCAAGATTTGCTGGAAGCATGCGTCGAGTAATCGAGAAATTGAGTGATTTACATCGCCGGGATATGTTCAAAGATACGAGAGAAATGGAAATATTCATCGAGTACAGTGAACGCAGCGAGAGATGTTACAGAATTGTATTGTGGCCAGCTACGATTGCTTGCGTCTCGTGGTACCTAACGCCTGTTCAGACCTATCTCCTTGCTAGTAAGTGACAGTCGCGTAAGCGATTCTACTGTATTTTCTCGAAGGTCCTGAAACCAACTTGTCACATTACCGCACCCAAAAAACACTTTTTGTCATTCCGGCCGTAAGGCAGCGCTTCCCTACGCGTCCGTGAATCACTGCTTACAACCGTTATAACAAAAAACATTGCTCATCACAATCAAGTAGATAACGAATTGAGAGGTTTCTTCTTCAAATAATTGACTCTTTACAGCCACACAGCTTGAAATACATTAAAAAATCGAATGAATCATTACTTCTTTGAATGATGTAAATATAATATGGTCTACTTATTAGGAAATTTTTCTCTCAGTGTATGAAATGCGGAAGAATTTGATTTTTCAAAAATGATCGGTCAACCCTAAAAAAATTGGATTGAAATTTTCTACTCTGGCAAAATTGAAATTTTCTAACTGTCGTCCAAGTTATATATGGCCAGTTAAGTCCCCAAAGGTTAGGGCGAAACGGACCGTAGGGCAAAACGGACCACTGACAGAAAATTGGTAATTTTTGTTTTTTTTTTCTTTCCTTCAAATCAGGAACACTGAATGTATTGAATTAAAAGTGAGTTCCTTAGATCGTAACTGTCACAGAGGTTTTATAGACAAGAAGTGTCGTTGAACCGCAATGTAATCAGATTTGCTAATCACCTCAAACCACAAACGACTTTGAATTTTTGTGTTTGCTTTCATTCGGAAGCAAAAACAAAAATTATCAAGTTTCTGTCAGTGGTCCGTTTTGCCATAGGGGTCAGTTTTGCCCTGCAGTCCGTTTTGCCCTACCCTTCCCTATATCGAAATACTCTGTTATTATGTCCATTTCACCATCTCGAAGGAATTCGCAATGGAACATTCATATATGAAGCTCCTTGGCGGATGCCGGCATTTGGGGCTATGGCAAGACCTGAGGTGGCAATATTGGTTCATATTATCGAATTACCAGTAGTGTACGTATCTTTCTGCTATATGATATCATACTGTATATATGTTGCGCTGGTGAATCATATTCGATGCCAATTAGTTATTGTAAACCATAAAGTGCGTAAACTCAAAGTCGATAGAATAAGGAATATGGAAGAAGTACTCAGTCCCATTGTTGAGAGACATGTCGCAGTACTTCAGTAAGTAAGTGCCATCATATTACGCAGAAAGACTAATAATTATGAAGTTTATTCTCTCAGTATAGCAAAGTCATTGAATGATTGTTCTCGTGTTTCCCTATTATCGGAACTACTCATCGTAAGCGCCACGCTTGCATTACTGTTATACAACATAATAGTGGTAATACAATGTCAGATATAATTAATTAATCGCGAACTATGGATTTGATATCTCATCAACTGTTTTTTTTTTCAAAAAACATGTTTCAGAAAGGGCGCTTTCACAGGACGGCGTTAAAGTCATGAACTACGGATTTTATGTTTTCAATATGCTTACTGTCATGTTTACGAATTGTTATATGGGTCAATGTTTGGAAGATGAGGTATGTTACTGAATAATGATTGGTCTCATTTCCATGATATTAATCAATATAAGAAAAGTTAGGAGATATTGAAGAAATAATCACGACGTTGATTAAATTGTCATAGTGCGACGTTTCGCTGAATTATTTAGGCTTCTTTAGGCTCTGGAAAACAAAAATTGCAACCAATAGCACATTTCAGGGCGAGTGCCATGGGGTTTTTTACTCGTGTGGAGGTGGCGTCACAGCCAAAGACGAGGACAGGCCAACCACGCGAGTAAAAAAACCCCATGGTAAAGTCCGTGCCACGAAAGAAGTAACATCGGCTTGAGTGGTGGGGGCCGTGGATTGAAAGCTGAATTCAGGAGAGTGGGGGTACCCAGCGAGGTTCCTTCTTTCGTGGCGAGAACTTTACTAGCCGTGAAGGATATTTTTTCGTAATGATTTTCACTGTTACGGATTTGGAGAAGGACCAACACCAATCCCTGGACAAAGTGAAGGTCGGTACGGAAATAGTACATTACATGCCCGAGCCTTGGAAAACAGATCACCGTTTCCCAGATGCAAGATTGCCTTCCGAGCCGAAGGTGAGGATGGCAAGCACGTGGGGGAGGGTGATATTGTTTTCCATGGCGACGTGCGTATATTAATTTTCGTCAGAATGCCCGGTAAACCGCGATTCTAACCTCGCTTCGCTCGGTTAGATCGCGATTTACGGGCCTTCTGACGAAAAATTGCATTCGTCACACGGTCCAAAAGTATTTTCTGACGAATGTGATTATAGGCCGAGCCGAAGGCGAGGCCACATTCGTCAGAAAATACTTTGTGGACCTTGTGATGAAAATAACTATTTCGTGTCGAGGGACCTGAAAAACGCCAATTTCGTGGCACGCAGCGTCACGAAATAGGATTGTACGATCAAACGAACTTACCTGTAAGTGAAGTTCGATCGTGATTATATGAAGAGCCTCGTCAAGAGATTTTAATAACTTGTAGTAGTCCGCCTGCGGCTAGATAGAGCCACACGCCTTCAGAGACCATAGAAAAAGTTGGTTGTGGCACCTCGGCATTGAGGGCTCGCCATCTTATCCTTAGTTTAAAGTTAAGCAATAGTGTAGAAAAAATTGGACGGATTTGGGAAAGCTAGTTGGGAGGGACTGAATCTCTCGACGAGGCTCTTCATATAAGCACGATCGAACTTCACTTACAGGTAAGTTCGTTTGATCGTACAATTATATTCGAGCCTCGTCTTCGAGATTTTAATAACTTGTAGATGTTCAGAGATCATCCAATTTTCTCTTTTTGTTTTTTTGTTTTTTTAATCAAAATCCCAGATTCAATATGAATATGAATATTAAAGAGTTTAAAGACGAATGTTAATGGACAAAAAGAATGGTTATTGACGGAACCATATTCAATAGAACTTTGACAAAAAAGCTTTGATCAACGGCAATTATAGAAATGTACAAATCGTACTTCTAAACCTTTCGAGACTTACTCGTTTTCTCACAGCAGCTAGAGTTGCTGTAATGTAAGTTGAGAATTAGCTGTATCGACTTCAAGATGGCTATAGGACAATATAATCCGTTAGGCCAGTGTTTATGGAGATTCGCAGCTATAAAACTCTCTGAATGTAACGAACAGTATAAAGATGTTATATTCAAAATCTCAACATACTACAGAAAGCTACCTTGGCTGCGCAAAAATGATGCCTTTCAAAACGGAAAAGGGGGAAACAGGCTGTGGATCGCCTGGGCGAGAAGATTGTCACCTGTCTGGTATTGTGAAATCCAGATTTGACGCACTTTTGACACTGTTCTCAAGTTTAATGGCAGAAAACGTTTGTCGTCTGCGAAATACTCAAGATCGAGACAAAGACAGATTTTCATTAAGATGAAGAATTGACAGATTTGCTTTGAGTGGGAAAGACCTGGGTGGTAGGTCAGAATACACTCAAGATACTAGATGTGAGTGCATTGTGATTTACCAGGACGTAGTTTGAAAATTTTTTGAACCTTTGGAATGTTGAATTTTGTCCCACTGTTTCTTGATTTGGTGGAGTTTACTGTTTCATACGCTGTTCCTTATTTGAACTCTGCCATTAAAAATGTGCAGGGTAATCGAACTAGATGTCGAACAGCAGTTATTTTTGTTTCATTTATGAAAATCCACAATTTTTCAAGAGTAGACTTTGTTAACGACAAAGAGAAACATTAACATCAGTCATGACACATGCACCTGGTACCAGGTGAAAGTAAAAGATCCTTCAAGGATTTGATATCGTAATTTGTTTCCGAGATGGGATAAATGAAAGCAAGGAAGCAGAGTTGAACTATCTAACAGGGGGAGACCATTATATCATCGGTCTCACAATTGGAATTCTGCGAATTGTGACAAATTCACAATTTATTCCCAGGCTAAATGTAGGGGATACGGAGAGAAAATTTTGTCACCAATCAAGATTGAAAAGGTGTCAATCGACACTGCAAGGAGATTGCCGTGCTACACGCATTAGAGATTGCGTTGGTATTTTGACAAGAGGGACAGAAAAGGTCCATTTTTGGATTGAAAAAATCCTTCTCACCTAAGTTTTGAAAAAACTTAGATTGCAATGTACAGCTCCAGTATTCACTTTGGAAGGAATGTAAGATGCATTCGACCGAAGTCTTCGCAACAGTGCTAAGACTCTCAAACTGATTTGTTCAGATGGGAGAATTTTGTACCTTCCAACCCGTTAGCGTAGGGAGTGCCTGTGATGTTATTAAATTTGAGCAAACACTCACAGGATCATAGGTCGCGAAAAAACACCTAAAAGCTAGGTGAATGATCAAAACATTGAGGAATTTATATTGTTGTACCTTTCTCACACTGGCCAGGTGTTTCGACTTGATCTTTTAACGCAGAGGTAAATTTCCAACCTAAGAAGACTGCGTTTGAAATAATATTTGTTCTAGACTGATCAGTTCAATTAAGAGCTACTAAGCAAGATCTGGCTGAGGAGAACAAGAGATCATTCAAAATTTCCATAATTTATGATCATCTGGACTTTTTTTTTTAATTCTTCCAAGTTTTTTTGTGTAGCGTATACTCAATTGCAATGTAGACCCATACATTTNCGTATACTCAATTCCAATGTAGACCCATACATTTTAATAAGCTTATGAGGCGAAAACACACTCTAATGGACTACNGACTTGATCTTTTAACGCAGAGGTAAATTTCCAACCTAAGAAGACTGCGTTTGAAATAATATTTGTTCTAGACTGATCAGTTCAATTAAGAGCTACTAAGCAAGATCTGGCTGAGGAGAACAAGAGATCATTCAAAATTTCCATAATTTATGATCATCTGGACTTTTTTTTTTAATTCTTCCAAGTTTTTTTGTGTAGCGTATACTCAATTGCAATGTAGACCCATACATTTTAATAAGCTTATGAGGCGAAAACACACTCTAATGGACTACATTTTCCAGATTGCAGATGATGAAATAGGCTATTTATTGCGTAAATCGCTATAACGCATATCATCTTTCATAAGGTGTTTCTAGGCCAAACTTGTAAAAGTCATTGATCAAATTAAGGTATTCACAACGCTTTTTGTTTTTTAATATGGCTGAGACAAGAAAGAGCCGTGGCAGTTTAATTTTGTATTGGTACCATACTCAATAGCCGGAAAACCAATAATAAAATATCATCTAGATAACTGGATGATATGAAGCCTCCGAATCAATAAGATTCATGACCGGCCTCATGACTCGCGAAGCGAGAGAACTAGTCGCAATTCCAAATGGGGGTAGGAATTGAAAAAAATACCACCTATGCCAAAACAACGGAAGTTTTCATGCTCCACATGTACCGGGGCAGGATCTTCCCGATCTATCGGGTAGTTATACTAATGACCCCGGAAATCGAATGTGGAATTTTCATGATTTGTTCACGTTTCTTGACGTTTAGAATGATTTTCAACGATTTTTTTTTTTATACGACTTTGAAGACATTTCCATCCGTGAATGTGTTACAAAGTATTAGTTTTGGAAGGGTTTTCATGTCCTTCAATTGAAGTTATGAGTTCTCATAAATTTGTTCAACCTTTTAATGTGAAAAATTAACCATTGCTAATCATGTGGTTCACCAACAAAAAGTTACAATGAGACGAGCTGATCCTGATAGGATTCTGATAGTAATACAGAGGTTTTAACTACCTCTATGATCACATACCTGTTTATCCGCCTCTCAGGACTGTCCCTTTCAGTTCAGAGATTTGAAATTCTGGAGGAAATACCGATTGGTGAGGGCCAGAATTGAAGAGGCTTTTATGACTCTTCAGTCTCTCTAAAATAAAACTATTAGAACAGTTTAATTTCCATTGGGAAGGAAATGTTCAAGAATGGCTGCAGAGATTTTTGCCATTACATCTTGCTCTCTTGAAGTAAGATAACTCTGGAGACGCTGACGTCGATCGAGAATCATTGGGACTATTGAGGAAATGCCTCCGGTTGGACCTGTTGTTCAACCTGAGGCATGCAATGTTTTTGAACCGTTTGTTTTAACTCTACGTCTCAAAACAAGCTCCTTTGAATCCAATGAATTTAGATTCAGCTGTAAAGGTGGATAAATCTCCAAACCTTGACACAATTTTCAGGATTTATTTTAATCTTCTCAAGCTTCCCGAAAAATGTGAAGCCATACAAAAATTAAACTGGAGCTGTAGCCTCAAGGGCTCTAAAAATTCATTATTTTTCTCAAACCACACAACTTCTGGAAGAGAACTAGATTTTTTAGTTTCTCTTCCTAGAGCAGACTTCGAAGAGTTGCCCCCAATGCTACGAGGGCAGAACCTGCGTCTTTTGAGATTGATTAAAAATTCTTTATCTCTATGGATCAATGGTTCGGTGGAGATAAAAGCAATCTCTGAATTCAGATTTGGTGGATATTTCCATAAATCTGTGTAATTTGTGCATCAACAAATTCGAGACCAGCCAGAAACTCCAACTAGCTTCCAGATTACTCTGAAAAGATATCTCGGCATCATGAGGCTTCGATGACCCAGGAACTCCTATATTCCTGAATCGAGTTCAGGTGGAATATTATTTTGCAGGTTTGAGGCCTTGAATGATGCGTCAGGTGCAGATGCAACAATTGCATTTGTAATTGAAGGCTTAGAGCCTTACTTTAATGCGTCAGGCGCAGATGTACCTATCATAATAGTAGTAGAAGGCTTGGAGCCTTGGATCAATGCGTCAAGCGCAGATTTAACTATTGAAATAGTAGAACAAGGCTTGGAGCCTTGGATCAATGCGTCAAGCGCAGATTTAACTATTGAAATAGTAGCACAAGGCTTGGAACCTTGGGTCAATGCGTCAAGCGCAGATTCAACTATTGAAATAGTGGAACAAGGCTTGGAGCCTAAGGTGAGTGCGTCAGGCACAGATGTGTCTAGCACAACAGCATCTGAGCTGCTGCTCGCACTGTCCTGGATGTCACGGATGAAGATCCATCTGACATATTTATAACAATCTCATTTTTAATTTCCTTGTTCTCGATTTTGTCTGTAGGACCAGGATAACCAGGTAAAATGAGGTTAGGGTGAGTTGTTCGACAAGGAATAAACTCGGCCTAAAAAAGCCTTTGACGTCGATTGGTTCTGTCACGAGGATCTGACCCGAGCGTCTAAAAAAGCTGAGAGACATGTACCATCCTTACCTTTATTTCCAATCGATTATTTATCCAAGGAAAAGTCGATAAGCCAATGCACGTAATATTTGCAATTTCACTATAAATTTCTAGATATTCCACACAATTTATGTGTTTCCTCTTCTTACAATCACCCATGACTTTGGAAAAACTGTGTAAAAACGGAGAAAAATAGATTATTACAATAAAACAAACTGGAAACTCGGAAAAGCGTGCGTTGGAGTTGAGTTGAGTCCGCGTGGATTCCTGGAAATGAGGTATGGGAAAATTCAAGGAATCCATGAGGCCCGGAAAAACCGATCGTTAGGGACTGCTGAGGGTAATAATCACAAAGGTGAAAGAAAGACCTTTATGTTTGGAGTCATAAACCAACTCAAATGTGATAACTGTTTTGAGTGGAGGGATTAACAAGGATTAAAGTATCGAGAGCGATGATTAAAATTTCCAGAATTCGGGAACATATCGACCGTAAGATAATGTTTTCAAGAGAGAATATTTCGACCGTAATAAAATCTTTGTTTTCGAAAAAGACTACTGACTGTACTGACCGTGATAAATGACGAGAAAAATTCGATTATTGTGAAGAAGACACGAGGGATTAAAATATTTCACCGAAGACCCACAATAAAATGATTTACGCGCGTAGAAATTGAATTCTAGGAAATTTGAAATATTTAATGCCCTGGGAAATTTGAGTTTAATATTTTCGAAGTAAAAAAAATGAATTAATCAGGAGAAACCCTTTCTGCGCCAGAACATCGGGCCTAATGGCATAAATGGGTTTTTTCGAGGGGCTACTCACTCCCTGATTGAGTGACACCATGACTCCGAAGTGAAGTCGACTTCACGTGATTTCAGGGTTGATTTCAGTGACTTCGAGTTTGACTTCGGTGATTTCGGGAAAAAACGAAATCAGTTACTTCAAGTGGCTCGTGACATGACTTTGTGACTGCAATTGATTTCGAATAATTTCATAGATTCGAAATGAATGATTTCAGAGGCAATGTAGTCATTCAAATCACGATTAATAAAGCTCAAGGAACGAACGCGAATGGGGCAAAATGGGCCGGTTTAAATTTTCGAAGTCTGCTTATTTTACAATACGATTCAGTGCAACTTGTTCTTATTTCGAAGCATGAAACAAGAACTGAAGAAGGCGATCTGAACTGAGATTTTACTTGACTTCAATCTGTCAATCTCAAATTTTTCAAATAAAAAACAAAAATTAATTGCCAACCTTTAGATTTAAAGAGTGATACATAAAGTATCTTTTCAAAAATATTTTTTAACCTTATCAAAAATGCTCTCATGGAGCTTTACATCGCCAGTCTCACATATCAGTGGAGGGGAAATTGTCTTTCTGTATTGTTTTATATCGATGTAGCCGTGAACAGTTATTGGCTCGGATTTCAAACAATTCAAACTCATCCAAAATGTACCAATGTCACAGAACTTACTAAGGAGTACGATAGCCTCTTGCATTCAGTGTAAGAATCCTGCTCACTAACAAAAGTGAAAATATTATTCACTACGTACGTCAAGGCGGTACGTTAGCCACAGAACGGTACGCCGGTTAATTAAATTGATTTCAAATGACTTCGGTGTGATTTCATGACTTCAGCGCGACTTCAAAACTTCGGCAGGATTACAGAAATGATTTCAGAGAGATGAAATCGCATGACTTCAGTGATTTCGATGACTTCAATGAATTCACATGATTTCAACGTGACTTCAGATTGACTTTATCATAGAGTGGCGCCATGACTTCGGGAGTGAGTAGCCCCTCGGGGTTTTTCATGTCCCGTGACACGAAAAAATATAAACAAACAACTCCAAACGCTAGTTGTCATAACCTGCTCTATTTCTCCAATATCCTCTGACTTTTCTTATATAGTCAGACCAAAATTTCTTTTTCCTTTGGAAAAAATGGTTTTCTGTTGTTTTCATTGACAAATCAGCAATTTGACAATAGAAACCACGGAAACTCGTTACCTAAAACTAAGTTCACGCGAGAAAAGAAGTCTTGCTTGGGCTATAGTTATTGAATAATCAACTTCAACAATAATTAAATCAACACCCCGGGAGGGGTACCAGATATATACTGGTGTGATTCTTATTTCAGGCTGTGAATCTGTCTGATGCATTTTATGACCACGATTGGACCGATCTACCACTCTCATATCAAAAAGCATTCATAACATGCATGATACATGCTCAAAGACCGTTACAAATCACGGCTGGGAAATTCTACAAATTCTCTCTGAGTGGTTTCACAAAGGTTACCATTTAAATTTTTACCGCCATAAGAAATTGCTACTCCACTCATTATTATTCTTTACAGATCATGAAATCAATCATGGGATTTTACTCAATGTTGAGAGCAACGACTTGAAATCAGTATATTATTGGCCTTGTGTATTCTAAATGCCGAGATACTGAACCATGAAAATGTAATGATATAATAGTACATTAGAGTACAAGGGCACAAATTTCGTTTTCGACGAATGTGAAGTTTACAGGCCGAGCCAAAGGCGAGGTGTGTATTCACATTCGTTGAAAACGAAGTTTATGCCCGAGTGGTCTATACTATTTTATGCCACATCATGCAGAAGTCGAGTTTGAAGCACGCTGCGCGTAACGCAGCGTGCGATAAACTCGACTTATTGCACGACGTGCCATAAACATATGAGCCACGGTTTGTAGGTCGATTATAGAGATTGCAGTGAATTGATGATGCAGGATTTAAAATACAATAAATACTTTCTTCAATACGGACTGATGCACCGCTTCAACCCATTGTCGTACAGTAGAGTCTCCTTAACTTCACTACGTCGGGGCTACAAATTCCACGAAATAAGCGGTTGCGGACATTCACACTCTGTTGCTAGAGGAGCGTCGCCCAAGTAGAGTGACAGTGAGAGGTTATGGACCACACGGATTACGAAAAACATGCGGGAGCAGAGACTGTTTACTGCGCATTCACCAGGCGCAGAGGAATACACGCATATCACTCACACACGTTTGGGGTACTCAGAGTAAGGGAATATTTTCCCCACTGTCGCTGATCGCTGGGAAGTTGGAGAGTAAAGAAGTTAGGGAGACTCTACTGTACCAAGATCACCACATGCATCGGTAAGACGTGAGAGGTGGAGGGGGGGAGGGGTCCCAGTGTGTTAGTGCGTCGTTATAGGAGACGCTGATGGTGCCCGTACTTCACTACAAAATCTTTAGCTGTGGGCCTCACCCCAATAATGTTATAAAACTGAACTCGCTCAATAGACTGTAAAATGCATTTCCTAAGCAATAGTGTTACTCTTGGGCCAATTCCCATTCTCCTTAACGCGTCAGCACTCGCACTATATGACTTTCTCTTGCAAAAATTTTCAAGGTATAGGGAATGTACTCAAAAAATTAAGATTTTAGACCGATACTTTTTGATTAATTGAATTCTATTGACTTTTTCTACTGAATATTTTCTATTGAACATTTCAATAGAATCGGCCAAAAACTAATAGAACAGTTCAATAGAAATTCAATAGAATTTTCTAACGAATTCCATAGGTTTTTCTATTAAATTTTTTCGTCTGTGATTGCTCTGTCATATCTCAACAGATCAGGTCACCCTATTATCACTCTATTAATTTAATACTATAATTCTCTTCTAAAGACACACTCCTCTTAAGGCCAATGAACAAAGTGCAAAATCCGACTGCCCTTACCAGCTTATGAAAACTGCTCGCATAATATTGATTTATGGTCACCTCCTCGGCAAAAAGCTTAGGGTTCTAATTTTTGTTATTTTTATAAACACGTCATGCCGTCTCTTATCACATTAACACTAAATCGAAATTTGGATTAAAGACAGAGTTCTGTTGGTCACATGCTGCCGGATTTGGCCAAATTCACACTCACATTTTTTTCTTTTGAACTGTCTAGTGACAGTCAATATACCTCGGATCGTGAAGATAGAATTCATTTAATAAAATGAATATTGCGAATATTCGTTTCCTGGAACATTGCAGGTGTCTAGACAATCCCGATATTACAGAGGGCACTCAGTATAGACTGAATAAAGCACGAATGCTAACAAAAAAAAAGCCTCCGCGGGACAGGTGGAAAAGTTCCCTCGGGGCGAAGATAATTATTCAACTACCCTGATGGAGTCTTTTAATTGTCCTATGCCTTATTACTCCGACTGCGCACGCAGTGGTCACATCGGCCAAGCGTTCGACTTCAAATACCATTGTACCTCCGACGATCATAGAGTCGTCCATCCCGAAGAACGGAAATTTGACAGCAATGTCAAGTGGTCGAATTCAAGTGAGAAATGACTGGATTCTTCAGGAACACGATCGTAATCAGTCTTTCTTTCAACAGAATCAAGAAGAGTTTGATAAGGCAATCAAAGTTTTGAGTTGGAACAAATGGCTTCTGTCGGCGCTCGGACTTTGGCCTCGCAATCCAAACAGTATAATTTTCATCGTCAATTTCGGATATTTCGTGTACAATATGATGTGTGAATATCTAGATTTGTTTCTTTTCATTGATAATCTCGAGCACGTCATCGAAAATTTGACGGAGAATATGGCATTTACGCAGATACTTGTGCGTATGGCAATGCTCAAAAGATATAATCGACAACTCGGTGAAGTGATCAATGAAGTGTTCAAGGATTATGATGCGAAAACTTACAGAAATCCGGAAGAGAGTCAAGTTTTTCTGGACTACATGAATAAAGCAAAGTTATTTGTTAAATTGTTATGTGCATTCGTGACGATGACGGCAACATCGTATTATGCTAAACCGATAACGAGTCCACCACCACCTCCGGAAAATGAAGGTGAGTTCGAGTGAAAGGGTCTATCCTGATAAAAATATTGAAATGATTTTAGGGATAGATAGTGCGGTCAATGCAACAATGCCATTTCTACTGCCATATCGATTCCACATTTTCCATAAAGTTGATGACTTTCGGACATATGCTATCACATATGCATCACAATTCCCATTTGTTTTTGTGAGTGGATTAGGACAGACAGCGGCAGACTGTCTCATGGTGACTCTTGTCTTTCACGTGAGCGGTAGACTTTCAGTTCTTGCCATGAGGATATCCTCCGTGAAGACCAATGTTGATAATTGCAGAGCAGAATTGGGAGAGATTATCATTGAACATAATCGATTGTTGAAGTAAGACATTACATTCGTGATGATGAATGAAAGATTTTATTTTCTGTTTTGCGATTCAGGATGGGACAGAATATTGAGGAAGCATTCAGTGAAACATTGCTGGCGCATTTGGTGGGAGCGACGGCTCTGGTGTGCATCCTTGGATATCAGTTACTAGTGGTTTGTTTATTTTCTCCTGTTTTGCTTTTCGTGATATTCACCAAAAAACAATTTCTTGATTTAGTCCGGAGAGTCTACTTGATCGGAGTAGGTTTGAATCTAGTCTAGAATCTACTCCTTTCAAGTAGATTTCATCAAGTTGCATTGAGTAGAGCTGACTTCACTCAAAATGAGTCAGAAACTCGGATTGATTAAATCATATTCTTCCTACTTGAATCCAGTAACAAAAATACTTTTTTCAAGTCGGGATCTACTTGAATCACGAAATGTTATTTTGGTGTTTTATACTGTCGAAGAAATGAGCATGAGAATTGTGTAGAGACATCTGATTTTAGAATTACGCAAAAGGCCAAAGCGCTGATCTTGCAACATTTTTTGTATTCATATTCTTGGTTTTTTTGGTGCTATACGCCCACTGTGTGGTCGGTGAAAGCTTAATTACAGAGGTAAGATTCCCAATTATTTTTCAAGATTTCTTCGTAGGTGATTCAGCTAGAACTGATTTCAGAGCCGTATATCAAATTCAGACATGCATCGTTAATTTAATGAACAGTTCAGTAATAATTTTCAGAAGGGTGACATTTAATTCAATTTAAGAGGAAAAAATCATGAAATTCAAATTGCACTGAAAATTCAAGGAAATTCTAAATTTTTGAGCAGCAAAAAGGCAAGAATTTCTGAACTTACTTGAATTTCCAATCAAAACATGAATAGTCATGACAAAATTGTGCAGAATTTTGAATTCACTGAAACTTGAAGTATACATTTACCTGAATTTTTCTGATTTCCATTAATTTCCATGGAATAATTGAATTAAAAGTGAAAAACACTACGGAAAAATATCGTTCATGACTCGCGTGATTGGCCAGTCCTCGCCTTCGGCTCGGACGCCAACTCCACGCGAGTAAAAAACCCCATGGCACTCGCCCTGAAATATACTATTTTTTATGGAAGAGTCCAAAATGCTCAATAAGCAGTCTCACTATGATATATGAATTCAGCTTCTCAGAATGAAACTGTCTTAGCCATTATCAGTGATGACTTGTGGCTGTGTTAGTTATGAAAAACCGTACGCTTATTTAGTATTTTCGGTTAGCAATGACTTTGAACCTCTGGAATAAGGCAGAGTACGGCAGGAGCTGAAGTTGGACGGCTGTCCACTCCTGGCCTAAAATCTATAGTAGACCCGCGTGACAACCGAATCCGATTGATCATTGATTTTGTATACTTCACCCATTAATTATACGATTCATTATTAATAGATCGGTTGTTTGGTTATTTGAATGGAGAATACCTATCCAAATTCTTCTCCTAATCACGTCGCGTTAAGCTTGAGTAATTAAGTTGATAGGCGACTTGACACGCACGAAAAAATTGAATAGAAAAGTCTATCGAATTCATTAGAATATTCTACTGAATTTCTATTAAACTTTCCATTAGTTTTTGGCTGATTCTATTGACCTGTTTAATAGAAAAAAATTCAATAGAAAAAGTTAACAGAATTCGATTTTTCTATATAACTTATTCTTTTCATATATTTTCTATAGAATTTGCTCGCCTCAAATTTTCTAAGTTTTTTTCATTCTATTTTTCTTTTCTTCTCATCAAGAAAATCAAACGAAAAAACTTAGAAAATTTGAGCCGAGAAAATTCTATAGAAAATATCTTAATAGAATAAGTTATGTCCTTTGGGTTATAAAATTTTCTTCCATATAAAATTTATTCACGAGTTAAAATTCTCAACTTTGCTCGCTCGTCGTCCACCAAATTCACCAATTATGTACATTCCCTACAACCATACACATCTAAACTGCCCACGAACAGGCACCTGTGTCCAGAAGTTGCTGTTTTCAGCCCCTTCTGGACGTACATTCGTCGCCCCCACTACAAAAGCCTGTTAACAGACAGTCCCACCTGCGGAGCCATAATGAGTTCATCCCCGTGGGATTCCAGTAGTTTTCATTCTCGCAATCAAAAAAATTTACGTCACGTCTCCGTCACTCATCCCCTAGTAATTCTATTAAAGGATTACTAATAAATAGAGCTTTGAACCGGAATTTAGTGGCAAACCTTTGACAAACATTATGCTCATCATCGTAGATCGCGTGTGCATACGTGACTCTGTGCTGATCCTCGCAGTTACGTGTGTTCAGAGCAAGGACTCAAATTGTGATCAATTTAACAATCAACCAATATTTTTTATTCTGCATTTAATTAACGAAATGTGAGACAGTTCAGTATTCTATTTGGATTAATACCGCACTTAAGGAAACCTGTTTCATCACACCACCGATCGATCGAGGAAAGCAAACCTTATCAATTCAAGTGAGGAATTTTAATATATTGTGAAGGGTGACCCCGTTAAAAATTATCCCATAAAATCATACTTTCCTTTTTGTTGAAATCATCTAGTTCTCTAGTTAATCCAGTAAAGAATACGAAATTGGTCTGTTTTCAAAGATCTTTTCTCTCTCTCTTTTAGTCGTAATATGAATAAAAGAAAGCAAATCCGAATCGGGCTATCTAAAATATTAAGAGAATTTTTAAATGTGAGAGATTGGAAACATTTGTAGCCCATTTAATTTGTGCTTAGTTCAAATAAAAGGAATTATTGTTATTCATGATGCGAACAATCTTTAAATTATTAATTTTGATATTCGTGTCACCTTAATTGTTGCCCATTCGAACTACTGGACGAGATGTGCAGAGCACTTCATAGGTAAGAATCTAAATTAGATGGAGTCGGATTCCAACGCAAGTAGTAAGTCGTTGAAATTCTATTTCATAATTAAAACGTACGATCAAACAGACCTTCGTCTGTTTATCACAATAGAAAAATTGAATTCTATTGACTCTTTCTACTGAATATTTTCTATTGAACATTCCAATAGAATCAGCCAAAAACTAATAGAACAGTTTAATAGAAATTCAATAGAATTTTCTAACGAATTCGATAGGTTTTTCTGTTAAATTTTTTCGTCCGTGGATTTTTTTTCATTTTATTAGTAGGCGAATGGTAGAGGACGTCTTTGGGCTCGTCGTCAGCGTGCTGGCCCTATAAACCAAAGCGTCCCAGTAGCGCAGGTTCGAGTCCCGGTGATGAAAGATTTTTTCATCACCGGAAAACGAACTCAGTGCATGTGGAGTTAGTTATGTGGAGTTAGATATAAGTTAGCTTAGAGGCAAGTGCGGGTAGGGAATTAGGCTGGGGTACCGCGTAGGTACTGGGATGGGTAGGTAAAAGACCACAACGGTCATACCATCTGGCACCACCCAATTTTAGTAGGCGATTGGTTTTTTAAATTTTTATTTATCTCGGTTCAAGCTGAATATAAGTTAATAAATATCCAAACCCTTTGCAATACAAATCCCAAACTATAACAGAAAAATTTCACTTCAGAGTAACAAGGTGTGTGAAGCATATTACGACTGCTTGTGGTATGAAATGACCCCGGAAACAGCAAGAGTTATCATTCTGTGCATGGCAAGATCGCAGAAGCCCCTTGGTTTAACAGCCGGAAAGTTCGGATCATTTTGTCTCAGTACTTTGACAGACGTTAGTATTCTCGCACTTGAATTGACCTCTGAGAGAAAAAAATATTCTCTAGGAAAAAAAATTCCAAAGGCTGATGCAAATTAAACTATTCTTGTGGCAAGAATGGATAGGTTTCCGAATAAATTATTCGAGTTTGTCATTGAAGTATTAATTCAAATATCGATCCAAGCATTGATCCAAGTATTGATTCAAGGATTGATCCAAGTATTGATTCAAGTATTGATCCAAGTGTTGATTCAAGTATTGATTCAACTATATCAAGATTCTGAAGATTTATTTAATCCACAAGATTTTTACAGTCTTGATCATTGATTGCAACAAACTAGAATGAGTTATTTGCAAAACTACCTATCCGTTCTTATCACCAGAATGGACAAAGTTGTCTTAATTTTTCAAGTGCTTTCAGTATCGAATCGAGGAAAAATTTGTGACAAGAATGGACTTGATCCTAGAAATCTGTTTTTTCTCTCAGTAAATGAACTTTAAATTAATCAATTTCAATTTCCCCATACAGGTGGTGAAAACAGCTATGGCTTACTTATCCGTTCTACGATCATTCCTCCTAGAATGATGTAACTGGTTATTAGAAAAATAAATACGTTACGCTTGATAGATCTGCGGGGTTGAAATTTGATTGCAACTTGGGCTCTGATTAAGGAATGTGAAAAAAATTTGTGATACGTTAGGGACATGTCATACGACCGTCACATTCTAACTACATAAATCACGGTCATTCCTCAATTCTAGGACATATTTTTAAAATATTTATTTGTTAAACAAAAATTCATCAGTGAAAGCCAATAATAGTGAGTCGAAGCCGAAATATCCATAGTAAGCGGTAAAGATGAATAAATTAAAAATAGTAATATTCAAATGTTGAGTCAGCAGATCGAAGATGGCATATGGTAAACATTTTCGAAATCACATTTAGAGTAACGCTTTCAAAAGATCATAGGGCTTTTCCAATCACAGTCATTGATTCATTTATTATGTCAATAACTCAAACATCACAGAGGAAAATAAAATCAAGTACCAACGGATTCAATAATAGTATATTTCGATACGAGTGAGACAGAATTTTCACACAGCAAAAAGATCTGAATAAAATTAAAATTTATTAGGTGCGTGACTTAATTTTTACAGATTTTTCAGTAAATTTATTTAGTATAAAAAAATAAAGAACAACGGACTTTATCTTGGAACTATTGTCTTATCCTTTTCTATGACCTTGCGCCATCTCTCAGGTAACATTCGAATGCCGTCGCGAAAGAAACTTGCAGGCTTCGAGGCGATAAAGTCATCGACGAATTTACGCACATCGTCCAGCGTTTAAAACTGTTTATCCACTAAGGCGTGCTACATGGACCGGAACAAGTGATAGTCTTTAAAGTTTAAGAGGGTCTTCTGAGTCGCGCGAGCAACGTGAGGTCGAGCATTATCATGGAACAGTATGACTTGCCTGCTTCCTTGCCCAGTACATGGCCTTTTCCGATCAAGTTCTTCGCTCAGTTAGTTCAGTTGTTAGCTGTAGCGTTTCGCAGTCACCGTCTGACCTGTTTCCAGGAGTTCGTAATAAAGCACACCCTTCATGTCCCACCAGATACACAGGAGAATCTTCTTTAAGTGGATGTTCTGTTTCGGCGTCGATGTACTGGATTGTCCGGGATCTACCCACGACTTTTTACATTTGGGATTCTCGTAAAAAATATACTTTTCATCACCCGTCACAATTCTCCGCAAGAAGTCCTTTTTTTGTTGCCGGGCAAGCAGTGAAAGGCACGTGTTCATACGTTGACCTAGGTTGTGTTCGGTCACACATGTGGGACCCACCTTCCATGTTTTTGGATTTTTCCAATTTGACGCAAACGCTTAGAAAGAGCTGTTCGGGTGACTCCTAACTGAGCTGCAAGCTCTTGTTACGTTTGCGTTGAGTCTTCATCCAGTAGAGCTTGCAATTCCGCATCTGTAAACTTTCGAGGATCTCCAGGACGCGGCTGGTCACTCAGATCGAAATCACCACTTCACTACACATTGATTCCCGTGCTTTAGAAGCGTTTTTTCCTCGTTGGAACTCGTATAAAATGCAGTGACGAATGTGCTGTTTATCAGTTGCCAACGTAAACTCTGCTATTCTGAAAGGTTATGTAACTTACATAGACTTGTCGTTCCGTGTTCTGAAACCTTTTCTCCGATCCTTTCAAAACCAGAAAAGATCGCGAATATATTTCTATTTTAAATATAATTTTAAGAAAAAATCTGTAAAAATTAAGTCACACACCTAATATCTGAATTTTACACATGAAATAAGATGTTCGGGCACCTGCTCGTCGGAAATTCAGACACATTTTCATTTTATTCAAACGTTTTTTAGTGTCTGAAAAATGTGTACAAAAGGTATGTGAAATTCAGACATTCGATTTTGCCGTGCACGAGTGTGAAGTTGGCGACCCGAGGTGAAGCCGAGGGCTACCAATCACACGAGCTGAAAATTCCCGTCTCACATGTGTCGAACAATATTTTTTGACAGTGATGTTATGTTCAGCGAGTAGCTGAACATAACATCACGTTTCGTTCGCAAGTAAACGAAAAGACTTTTTGTTTACTTTTCGTTGACAAGTAAATGAAAAGGCACTTTTCGGTATGAGGTAAACGTAGCAGCAGTGTCAAAATAGTATATTACGTTACAAGTGTGAAAAAGGGAGAATGTTAATACGAGTGGGGTAATGTTTTTAGGGAGAGTCGTAGGACACGCGCAGCCGAGCGATAGACGAGACGAGACAAGCCGAGGGCTCGACTCGTGCCCCCTCCGCTTGTCTCGTCGAGTCTAGCGCGAGACTGGGCGTGTCCTACGACTCTCCCTAATAGTACATTAGAGTACAAGGGCACAAATTTCGTTTTCAACGAATGTGTAGTTTACAGGCCGAGCCGAAGGCGAGGTCTGTACACACATTCGTTGAAAACGAAATTTATTACCGAGTGCTCTATAATATTTTATGTCGTCGTGCAGAAGTCGAGTTTTGAGCAGGCTGCGCTTCGCGCAGCCTGCTCAAAACTCGACTTATTGCACGGCGCGACATAAAAATATTAACACACGAGTTTAACGTTCCCCCTTTTTCACACGTGTAACGTTTACTATTTTTTTAAATAAGCGTTTAGAAAAGTCATCCTACCGATCGACCGACTAACGCGTAATGGCTGCCGTATGGCTGATGTAATTCAGTCAAGACGAGTATGGTTGAACTAAGGAGATTGTGGTCCTCAAATTTACCCCCATTTTTCCCAATCCCCACTACAATCGTTGTCTCCCACCTTTGACACTCAGGGCTACAATCTCCTCAGTCCGACAGTAGACCGATGTTTTCAGCGGCGCACATAGTTACAGGAATAACGCCACTGGATTGGTCGAAAACGTACCGACTGGTACCATCTTTCAAACGGTGACATATAGAAGTGAACCCTAAACTTGTAACTGTAAAGTCAGCTGTTGTAAACGAAAAGTGAATCCGAAAAAGTCAGTTTTTCACCCTCTCAATACATTGTTGAAAAATTTTTACTGAATTTTTCGGATTTTAGTCTGGAAATATCAAACAAATGACAGTTTCACTGAAATTTCAGAAAATTTTGTCACTGAAAATTTAGGATTTTCATGGAAAAATCAATTTCAATTGAATTATTCCACACAGAGAAAAAAAGTAGATTAGCTTTAGAAACTAGTTTCTAGATTTTAGAAACTCTTGTTCTTAAGCTTTATCCTTGGTGAGATCATAAAAATTAATCAATTTGGGGATTGTTTTTAAGAATTCATATTTTCTAAGACCAATGCTGAATTTTTCTTAATTTTAGAAAATTTTCAGATTGAACTAAAACAATGCTGCCGAGGCATTTAAAGGGCGTAAGTCCCCCATACATAGGGAGGGGTGCCCAGATATTGGGAATTTCTGATGCGAGGAGGGGGGATTTTATAAAAAGGGGGAAGGGGGATTGCGAATCAACAATTCACAACCCAAACAATTGAATTGGTAAGTTTTTCAAAAATATCTCCGAAACTAAGAGAGATAGTTTTTGTGTCAGCAACTCCCATTTACACCAATGTTAAATTGTGTTTTCCATCTTCTCCAACGACGTCATTTTTGACCCCATGAAGATCATTTTGGGCTCAAAATGTACGGAATGTTATCAATATTATCAGAGTATACATAACACCATATCGACAAGGTGGTCCCTTTTCATGCGGACGTCCACATATGTAGTTATTGAGCCACCCCTCCCTCTCTCCGCACAATTAATTATTTAAAAATTAATTAAAAAATCAATTAAAAATTAATTGAAAAATTGATTAATAATTAATTAAAAAATTGATTAAAAAATAATTTAAAAATTGATTAAAATTTTTAATTAATTAAAACTGTGATCCTCGGAGAAGGTTTGTTCAAAATAAGGTCAAGTAGACCGAATCCGAACCTTATCATTTTCTCTTCTATTAACCCCGTTCAAATTCAATTGCATCAAATCCGAATCGGATCAAATTGGATTTAGACAACCTGACCTCAGACTGAGATCATGTCTACCTGATCAGAACTACATCTGAGCCCGTCTGAAGTTTTTGGGATCCGATCGACTGGATCAAAACTTGGTCAGGGTCTCATCAGGCGTCACCTGATCACGCCTACCTGACCAGAACTTGATCTGAACTCGCCGGTAGTTTTTGGAATCCGATCCCCTAGATCAAAACTTGGTCAAGTTCTCATCAGAAATCACCTGATCAGTCAAATCTTACGAAAACTGGATCAAGTTCTGATCATACTTCAGGCGGACCTGAAGCAATTTCCACTCGGGTAATCATTACTTGTGAAATATTTTCTCTAAAAATTACACAAATAACTGATGTTTGTTAATCGTCAGGTATTTCCTGATAGCTTGGTTGCAAAAAAAATGAGGGTATCAACCCTCACGATCATTTATTTACAGGGGAGCTTGAGGGAAGTACCCGATTAATTTTGAAGCTCGAGGGATATTTGTCGGATTATTTTTCCGTGCGGACAACATCAGGAGGTTAATTAGGGAAAATTTGAACAAATTATGTTAAGAGAATAACCCGGTATCCGTAGACTGTCAAATACAAGATTCGATCTGAAATGAGCCAAAAAAATGAAGAGCTACTGCGAAATATTCAAAAGCTAGCAGGAAATATCCGAAATAAAACTGTCGGGTAGCTTCAAATACTGTGCTCTGATTGATCGAAATCCGATTGGGAAAAATAATCAATTGAATACCGTATTAACTATATAACATAACAGTCGAAAAGTGCAATTTTATTGACTCAATTTTGGATGGAAAAAATTCTCAATAAAATAACACTCTTCAGGCTCCAGTCGGTAGGTTTTTCTAGAGAAGAAATTTAAGAAACCTTTGATGAAAAAAATTCTCAGCTTATTTATTCACGTGCACTGAAAGACTATTGCAGGCGACCAACAATATAAAACTCACTGGTGAACGACTGAATCGCTATTTATTGGTATAAAACATTGTTTTCCCAAAATGTTTGATATTTTTGTGAATATTCAAGTCATTATCTACTTGGTGAACTATTTAATTTATTTTTCAATACTCACATGAATGTATACATCACTATCACTCCATCGGTCACCTCTTAGCAGTCGACACTAAAAATCTGGCTGAAGAGAGCAGTTCAACAGAGTACCAAGACAATATTTGAATTGTTGAATTAAAATTTTGTTGAGAATACCAACCGCCTCAAATTTATTCCGTTCGGATCACCATAAGCCTACACTTCTTTAAAAAACTAGATATTATGATTTCTGGGAGGAGGTAATTAATTACCGAAAGAAATTTGCAATCGCATACTGGCGATTCAACTACTGAGACTGAGTCAGGTACTGGGACATTTACCTTACTATTCTATACACTATTAAAAAATTTTTGTCTGAAATTTCTGGTACGCTTTTTGGAAATTTTCATCAAATTTAATTACCACTGAACTTTCCAGGAATTTCGTCATTGAAAATTCAGAATTTCGTGGAAAAATCAAAGAGAATTGTCAATTTCAGTTCCATTTTTCCCTGAAAATGAATAGAAAGCCAAAAAATTCCGGTAAATATATTCTTGAATTTTTAGGAAAGTGACACTAAATGCGATTTAAGGGAGAAAAAATCATGAAGTTTCAGATTTCACTGAAAATTCAATGTAATTTGGCACTGAATATTCATATTAGAATAGAAATTCCATTAAATTAAGGGAATTGTCGTCTTTATGCTGCTTAAAATTCTGGAATTTTACTAAATTTTCAGTGAAACCTGTAATTTCATGATTTTTTCTTCCACTGAAGCGCATTGAGTGTCACTGTCCTAAAAATTACTAGTCAACGGTCCATGAAACTTCATTTTTTTTCTAACAGCGTAGCTGATGAACAACATGAACAATAATGCGGAACGTTTTCAGAAATATTGTCAACTGTCTCAATAATTTTCACAAAGTATATTACATTATATGTTTTCACCGTTGAAAAATTCTACGTGAGATTTTCAGTAAGGAAAATCATGATAAATCCATCTCTATCAATTGACGATTCTTTGGGGACTGAAGACTTCTTAATAAAATTTCCCTAATACGCATGTCCATATGCAGATCGATTGTCGACCGAAAATGTATGAAAAATTCTGGGAATTTAAGTATTCATGCATGCATAAGTTATGAAGTTTTAAAACTTTAGATTTGGTAAAGCGCAGGTCACTCAAGACAGCTTACTCGCCCTTCTGTGGAGTTTCTGCAACTTCAGTTTGGTTACGATCTGCATTGTTTCCAGATTCTACAATGATGCCAGATACCGAGCTAGATGTGAGTGTCCTTATGTCTTTTCATTATTCTTACTGTTATCAAACGCGAAATAATATCTCGCTGCACAAGTATAGATGTTCATCTTCACGCGGTCCAATCTTTTTTGAAGGATTAACTCACTTCCATATTTGTTTTTCGATATGGCTGCCCTAAAGTCCGCGCAGTTTAAATTGGATGTGATTAGTATTTTTTCGTTGCCATTGTCGAAAATACAATGTTCGACCTTACATTGTTACAAAAATTTGGCTGAATTTTCCGGACAAAGACCTTGAATTCAATTTAAGGGGAAAAAGCCAATAGAATTTCAAGTTTCTCTGAAAATTCAAGTAAAGTCCCAATTTCTTTGTGGTAGGAAGACGGAAATTCCACAATGGAAATGAATTTTCAAGTGAAAATGAATATTCACTACCAAATTACCTTGAATTTTCAGGAATATCCTTTAAAATTCTTAGAATTCCAGAAATTTTTGAAGGAATTCCCTGAAAATTCAGAGGCATCTAGAATTCAAGGAGGGATTTCTCTGAATTTTCCTCATTTTTCACAAATTTTCCGGGAATAATTAATTTGAAATTTACAGTTCCCACAGATTTTTCCATGCAATTATGAATTTTCAATGACCAAATTCCTTGAAATTTCAGTGGACATATTGCTTGTTCGAAATTCCCAAGACTTTTACCGGAAACTTCACTGGAAAATTTTTAACAGTGCAACTTTATTCAGTAGCGAGGGAAATTTTTTGAGGCAAATATCCGTAAATGGCATTTTATATAACATGAATGTGTGATTTTTTTTTTTTGAAAACTAGCATTGGGAACCATTCAGAAGCCTACATGGACAGAAATTTTTGATAAAAATTATCCTACCGTTCTATAAAAGTGTATTACGAGTCGTCATTTCCTCATTTCACGGTAATTTTTATTTTTATCAGGATACAATTTCTCTAACGTAGAATAAAATTTGATCATCATATATTATTTTTTACTAAATTTTTTTTACACTTTTATAGAACGGTAGGATAATTTTCATCAAAAATTTCTCTCCGTGTACACTGAGAAAAATTTCAATGGTAATTTCAACAACAAGGAAATTGTCAAAGAAATTATATTTACAGTAACAATAAACTTTGCAGATTAAACTAGGATTCATCGTTCGATTTACTATGTCAAATAGTGTCATCCACATTATGATGTAATTTTCACTTTAATGTGATAGTTGAATCTACAATGTTTATCNACAGTTCCCACAGATTTTTCCATGCAATTATGAATTTTCAATGACCAAATTCCTTGAAATTTCAGTGGACATATTGCTTGTTCGAAATTCCCAAGACTTTTACCGGAAACTTCACTGGAAAATTTTTAACAGTGCAACTTTATTCAGTAGCGAGGGAAATTTTTTGAGGCAAATATCCGTAAATGGCATTTTATATAACATGAATGTGTGATTTTTTTTTTTTGAAAACTAGCATTGGGAACCATTCAGAAGCCTACATGGACAGAAATTTTTGATAAAAATTATCCTACCGTTCTATAAAAGTGTATTACGAGTCGTCATTTCCTCATTTCACGGTAATTTTTATTTTTATCAGGATACAATTTCTCTAACGTAGAATAAAATTTGATCATCATATATTATTTTTTACTAAATTTTTTTTACACTTTTATAGAACGGTAGGATAATTTTCATCAAAAATTTCTCTCCGTGTACACTGAGAAAAATTTCAATGGTAATTTCAACAACAAGGAAATTGTCAAAGAAATTATATTTACAGTAACAATAAACTTTGCAGATTAAACTAGGATTCATCGTTCGATTTACTATGTCAAATAGTGTCATCCACATTATGATGTAATTTTCACTTTAATGTGATAGTTGAATCTACAATGTTTATCGTTACCGTAACTATTATTTTTTTGACAATTCCCTTGTAGTTGAAATTACCATTGAAATTTCTCTCAGTGTACTACCAATGAAATTGGTAGAAATGAAAATAGGAGGAAAAAAAGTACGCGGAGAGTAGCAGTCATATGTAATCCGTCAAATGGTTTCTGTCTCGCTGCTTATTTAGACAATAAATAAATATAAAAATATCAGTTTTGTCTTTAGACACTCAGATTCCTAGGAAATATTGGTTTTTCAAAGTCATTTGTAGTTTGAGGTGATTAGCAAATCTGATCAAATTGCGGTTCAACGAAACTTCTTGTCTATAAAAACCCTGTGACGGTTGCGGTTTTTTAAAATCATTGTTATATTGTAGGAAAAATTCAGGCAGGCTAAAAAGGTGTGGCACAGTGTCAATTTATCGCTAGTATGGATGGGCATGTGGCCGGTAAATGTGACAACCAGCGGTCGCATCAAACTTACAGCGTACCTGACATACTGGATAATTAAATTATCCTTAGAAATCACTGAGTTATTCATGGTCATTGGAAGTCTTGACACAGTTATTGATAATTTCGCAGTAACGGGTGTTGAACTAGTGGGATTTTCGAGAGTCATCACTTGGCGATTCAGCCCCGTAATTTACAAAGTTATTAATGAAATTCAGCAATTCCGTGAATATGCGAATTTCAAGGATTCAGTGGAAATGGAAATATTCATCAGACACAGTCAAAGTTCTCAAAGATTTCATCGATTTCTGATATGGCCAATGTGCGTGTGCACCCTCTCATGGTATTTTACACCACTTATGGATTATCTTAGTGCAAGTAAATTCACAAATTCTATAGTATTCGTAATGCTGGGACTTTTGATGAAAAATTTTTAATACAAACTTCAATTCTTTGAAAGGTATGCACAACGAGACGATTCCTCTTCAGCCGCCCTATCGATTCCCACCAATCATCGATATCTCACAAGGTTATCTTGCTATAATTGTCTATCTTTTTGACTTTCCACTGATGTATACTGGGCTATGTGGTACATCGACTTACTCCACGCATTTCCTGTTGATCAATGAAATTTGTGCTCAACTAGCTATTCTTGCTCATAGAATCAGGAATTTTGAACCAGAAAAATGCACGAATATCAGCGAAGCTGTTGGTCATATTGTTGACAAGCATGTTATGTTAATTCGGTAAGTCTCGATTTTTATATAGTTCTTACTTTCAAGAAGATGAGAATAATAATCAGATATTTTTCTAAAGGGTCACAAAAAATCTGAATGACAGCACGACTATTTATCTTGTAATCGAACTACTCAACACAACTGTACTCATCGCATTGTGCTCGTACAACGTTCTGATTGTAATATCATAATTTGTATTTGTCGAAAACATTGATCAGCAATTTACAATTATCAATAGACGGATATTGATCAATTTTGTACTTTAGAATCTTGAAGATACCTTCTTAGTTGGGCTGATCACTTTTGCATCATTCTTGTTGGCTTTGATGATTATGATATATACAGATTGTTATATGGGAGAATGTCTACAAACTGAGGTATGTTACTTTATATCGTTGACTTGTCTTCTGAAACATTACCATTGAATTAAATTGAGTAGGAAACTTGCATATTCTTACAACATTTTTTAAATCTTAAGTTTGGGACCTGAATAAGTGATTGTTCAATCATAAATGTCTGAAATGTTGCTCATCTCTCTATATAATACAAACAAATAGGGGGGGGGAATTGAAGGGACCTTAAAATTTGAGGGGGGGGATGTCCAACCATTCCACTAAATCTGTATGTGAAATATTGCCCCAAAAATTTTTCGAAGTTCTGCTTTTTTTTCATCTGAAATTCGATTCCATTTAGGAGGCACTCTCAGCTACAACTTTTAAAAATATTCCCCCCAATATTATCCTCATATATAATAGAAAAAATGCTGATTACTTTTGGGAATTCTTCACTTGAATTCAAGGCAATTGAAGTGATGAATTTGTATTTTCATATTCGAATGTAAAAAAAAATATTTCTATCAATGCCAACTTCATTTCACGGAGGGGATATTCTATAGTGAAGTTCGGTGAAGGGAGTTGTGGAAAAAAACCCTCACTGTCATATCCGTTCCGTCACACAGATGGGGGGGGGGCAAAGCCCCTCGGGTTTGCGAGCGAAGCGAGCAGGGAGCGGAGCCCCCTAGTTTATGAAAAATTAATTATCAGAAGTTGGAATTTCAAACGCTTGATAATCGTTTATAACGTCACGTGGACGGTCGAGCGCTGGGCTAATGACAAGTTGGCTCGAGCCAATTTAACCTAAGCTAGACGTGCGCCTCGGTCAATCAACTTGCCTCACATGCAAGCAATTGAAGCGTTACCTAGCTAGTTTTGTGACGTCATGACCGAAATAGTTGTCGTCACACGGACGTAATGCGCCAGATTATGGGCGAGTGAAAAGTCACTAGCTTCGCCTCGGCAGCGCCACCTGCTAGTGACTTTTTACAAGGCCAATCTTGGTATATTACGTTCGCGTGACCAGTATTATTGTTTTCACATTTTGCTGAAAATCGTTATCACTTTCATCTCGAAATTGCAATCGCGGAGGAAAGTGGGACGCAGAAGGGGGTCCAGGGGGGCAAAGCCCCATGGAAAAAAATCAAATAGAAAAATAAGAAAAAACATATCAAGACGAACAAGGGAATTGAAGAAGAAAATTTTCATTTCCCATAGATTGTTTTCAACAAAAAACAATTACAAAATTACAAATTACAGAAAAATGCAAATCACAGAATAGTTTGTGAAAACAGATGCAATTTTGTGTCATAAATGACAAATTCAGTAGTTGATTATTGATTTGGTATTTTAATGCTAGCGTTTCATGGGTTATGAAGAATGTATAAATCGGCGAATTAGGAAAAACTTACTTCCTTGACCAGCTGATCAATTAAAAACATATGATTGGTTGA